TGGACCACTTCCGCCTCCTGCTTACCCAGAAGGACGTGATCCGCTTCAAGCCCTCCCTCTTCCAGCACATGGGCCTCTACTCCTCCTTCCAAGGTAGTGTCAACCGACTGGAGGATGACGAGTTCGAGGCCGATGCCATGGACCTTCCGGACAACCCACCAGCAGCCGTGTTCACCAACATGCTTGTCTTTGAGAACTATGAGCCCTCCAAGGCTTACAGCACAGCAGAGGGATATTTCTGGGGGAAAAACCCAGCAGTGGGCAGCATCTTCTGCATCGTCTTCCACCAACCAGCCCGTGTTACCCGTGTCCGGGTGCAGACGGGCTCCAATGAGCGCCATGGGGACTTCCTGCGTGCAGGGGTTCTGGAGCTGGGCCAGAGGCGGCGGGCTGATGGCCAGGACTGCTCTGTGTACACCACTGTGGGCACCTTTGAGAAAGGGAACTTAGAACGGCGGGGGCTGGAGAAGGGAGCACCCAACCCTGTGGAGTGTGTGAGGATCCGGGTCACCCAGAGCCAGAGTGAGTGGCTCATCATCCAGAGCGTCGATATCTGGACTGCAGGCACCTGAGCAGGGCTGTGATGGGTCACCACAGTGGTTGGATTTTGCTCTAAGAAGAGGTTTTATTTTTCTCAGTCCTTTTTTTGATTTAAAGGAGAATTAAATTATTCAGCCAAGCTGATCCTACCTGCTGAATGTAGAGGGGTGGCAGGGCAACTGTGGGGTCTGCTTCCTGCAGGAAGATGGATGGGGGATGCTGCAGAGAGCAGTGCCCAGCCCTACAGCCCATCGGTATGGGGAGAGTGACGGACACGCAGCTCTGCAAGCTCTTTGTGTCCTGGTGGAGTGCCACTTTCCCTGCTCTGAGCAGCAGGGTCCTGCTTCCTTTGTTCCCTCGGTGTCCTTCTCAGTACCTCCTTAGGCCCTGACTCAGCTAATTATCTAACAGCAGTGAGTCTATTAGCCAGGCAACAGCATTTTTTGCAACTTCTCAACACCACCCCATCCTCAGTTGTCTAACCCTTACCTCCTGACTTTCTATCACACTGCTGTTATTCTCTTATCCTGTTTTCAAGCTATTTCTGCAAGTCCCCTGAGCAGCACCCCATATGGGAAGCCAGGAGTCCAGGCACTGCCTGCAGGAGCCTCTGGTATCGCTGATTGCTGTGCTGCTGGGAGGGGCAGCGGCCACCAGATGGACCCACAGCACCGGCTCAGTCCTTGCAGGGCGCCCGGGGCAGCTCTGATGTTCAGACCCGGCAGGGAGATTTCTGGGTAGATTTCAGGCCAGCGAGGTGCAGAACGCTGAGCTCCAGGCCCTGCAGCAGCCACCCGCCCCTCAGTGCTGCAGGGACATGGATTTGCCCTGAAAAAAGTCAGCCACGTAGAAGGTCTTTGTCTGCATTTAATATAAAGATGCTACACGATAAACTCAGCACCTTCCTGACGTTCTAAGGGTTCCAGCCAAAGCACAGTCAGAGGTCTTGGGAATGTTGAGGAACACAAAGGTAACCTTCCTAGGGCTACGATCCCAGACCATAGAATGACTTGGGTTAGAAGATACCTTAAACATCATCTAGTTCCAGCTCCAAAAAAGAAAGATCTTTATCCATTGAATAGCTCAGCTTTCAAACCCACACCTCTCCATTTCAGAGATAAGGTGTGCTCCAGCAAAGCCACTGCCCCACTTCTCTTGGATACAATGCCTTTCATGCACTGTGTGAACGTCAAGGGTTACAAGCAGGGTTACAAACCAAAAGCTTTCTCCCCAGTGTATTTTTATCTGCTGCTAAAGGAGGTAAACAGAGATAGAAGTATAAATCAGCATACCTGTTCTTTTACTTGTTTATCTACTAATCAGCTCTGTGCAGCTCTCCTGCACAGAAGCAAACTGCAGTCTCTGTTAATGCTGGTGTAAATCCGGAGAAACTCCACTGAATAACATGGACATGCACTCAGGTTACACCAGAGTAAGTGCACGCAGCAGCTGACCAGCAGCAGGGATCCCACATGCAGTGCACGTGTGTCACGCTTTGGAGTTCCCAATTAACATCAGTGCAAACGAGAGATGGAGGTGGCTTCTTTATCCTGGAGCAGCACCATATAATTTAGCCTACAAAAACGATCCCGTTACTTTTCTCCCACTAAACTCCACACCAAGACTCTCTAACACAGGGCTGATGTCAACCCCAGCAAGCAGTGACTGCGGCATCGTGCCGGTGGCACAGCGCCCTGGAGCTGCAGCCCCCACTGACCCACGCCCTGGGGTGGCAGAGCTGTGTGTGGCCGTTTACATGCAGCCAGAGGCCAGCTGTCAGTGCAGGTCTCAGCCTATGGGCTGATGTACAGGGCAAGGGGACAAAAACCAGGGACAAGCACTGTGGCCTGCCCCTCTCTACAAAAGGGTAAATCGGAGAGGGTTAGAGCTTCCAGGCCAACACCACGGCTGTCCTGAAGGATGGCTTGCTGTCTGTCTCTACCTGCTGAGCTACCCGGGCGCCTGGTGCTGCACTGCTGCTCCTCTAGCTCAGCATCTTGTGCCGGTCAAAAACTGTCTTCCTCTGCTCCTGCACCTGGCGCTTCCAGCGCTGCTGGGCTCCCTCCACCCTCTCCAGCACTGTGTTGGCTCTGGCCCCTGATGGGGTTGGGGCTGCAGCCAAGGAGCGAGAGTCCTGTAAAGAAACAGTGGACGAGGTCAAAGCAAGGCACGCTCAGCCCAAACACAGAGGGAACGAGCGTGAGGTCACACTGCTCCCCTGCCAGCCATTCTCTTGTGTCCTCACTGCCCTGTCCCTCCCACAACGGCAGCCACCCGTCTGCACAGCCTCACCTCGTTCTCCTCCTCATTGTGCAGGGGCTGTGTGTAAGCATCTGGTTTTCGGATCAGAGGGTCCACCAGTACAAGGAAAGCCATGTAGAGCAGCAGTGCCCCCACCACGGACAAATAAATGATGATAATGACCTGCAGTTAAGCACAGAATGGCAGAAAGGGTCAGTAGAGATCAGAAGTACCACAGAGGCCAGGAAGCTCCCTTCACAGATACCCCTGATGTCTGATCTCGTCCCTCATTTCAATGCTCACTAGAAAGTCTCTTGCATTTGTTAAGGAAGACTGGTCTTCTCTGCAGCATCAATTGAAACTTGTGCTGCACATGACAGGAGACCAACAGGATGGGTTCCCAACACGAGATACTTTGGCACGATCTCAGCATGGAGACAGGTCTCCCGTGGTGCCTCCTCCTCAGTGCCAGGAGCGCTCCAGACTCCAACACGGCGCTCTGGTACTACCACTGTGTGCTAGCCATGCTTGCTTTGTCTTCCCTTTCTGGGCTGTGCTCCAGAAGCCCAGCCTGTCAAGCTGTGCCTGGGATGGCACAGAGCCACAGGGAGCTGACCCACAATTACCTTGATGGTGGTGGTGCTGCGCTCCTCGTACTTGCACTCACACAGCAGGCAATACGCCTCCACATCGTTCCCGGGCACTGGCATGGGCTCCACAACATGCAGGCAGTTGCTGCAATGCAAAGAAACCAAAATCAGCAACAGGACGAGAAGAAACCGGTGCTCTGTGGAAGGATGCTGTGGTGACTTTGCCCCAGCTTTCACACTGGGCTGATAACGCTGACTGGAGTTCCCACCACAGCTTAGCTAGCCTGAAGTTCCTGGGACAGATTTGCTGAAGCACCTTCTGCAGGGATAACGTCCAGGTGAAGGGGGCTGAAGGGCATGACCTACATCTACACCCCTCACCTGGGCTGAGCCTACAGAAACAGCTTGCTTTACACATTCACAGGCAGCAAATCACTCCCAGAGTGCTGACTTCCACACATCAACCCCTCAGGCTTCAATGTGCAACTCACCAGTCCTTCTGTGACACATTCTTGTTGTAAATGTGCCCGCTGATGTTCCGGTACGGGGGACAGATGCATTTGCAGCGAATGTCCTCTGAGCTCTGCAGGAACACGAAGAACAAGCATTAGTGAGCCAACACAGGGCTACAGCTCTGCTGCCCTCACCACATAGGGTTGTGGGAGCAGAACATTCCCTGAGACAGAGATGACTTCATGCCACATCTCTCATTTCTCTTATTTCTCCTCTCCAGAGGCGCTTTCAGATGTATCGCAAAACACGAGCTGGAAACCACAACCAAAGTCAGGGCAGAGGCCTCCATCACACGCATTCACAGCCCTTCATGTTACAGATACACACCGACCTGCTGCAGTCTGCAATTTGCCTGTAGGAGAACACTTGCTTCTCTGCCATTTTGGTGCCTGCTGTACCACACTCAGCGGCTGAAGCTGTTCACTCACCTTGCCAGCCTGTGCTGGAGGAGAAAGGCCGCAGCTCAGCAGTGCGATCAGCAGCACGGAGGTTGCACTCTTCCAGGTGCACTGGGCAAACATTGCGGAGGCCTGAGGAAACAGAAATCCCCACACAGGACAGAGAATCTTCCGCTTAAGGTTAATTTCTTCCTGTATCACGATGCATTCCTACACGAAACTCCAGGACACAGCTCACACACCCCAAAAAATCCCTGTCCAAAGAGCTTCCGCCACCCGGAGCTAAACCATCAACCTAAACATCGCTCACAGCCGGCATCGCAGCTCCCCAGCAGCGCGGATCAAATCACCGCACAGCTGCGTTTGCACCGATCCAACGCAACGCGAGCTCTATCCGCACACGCATCGACCCCACAGCCCTCCCGACCTCCACGCCCGATCCTCCCCCCCCCCTCCCTCCGTCCCGCTCCTCACAGCGCAGCCCCGCTCCGTCCATCCAGGCTGCGGCCCGCCGACCGATCCGACCGGCGCCGCCCCCGGCCCTACCTGCCGCGCGATGCCGGCGCCCCTGCGAGCCCCGCCCCAGCCCTGCGCGCCCATTGGTTGCAGCGTGACAGGCAGGGCGTTTTGCCAATCGGAAACCAAGGCAGCCCGCCGCGCTCTGATGAGAAGGGCCGCGCCTCGCTGCTGCCCCTCAGTGTGAGGGAGGTGTGGTGCGGGGCACGGCGGGGTGTTCCTCGTGCTGTGTTGAACCGGGGAGGGAAAAGCTCTGCCACAGCAGGGCAGCAGCTCGGGCTGTTTTACCTTTATGAGTCACGTTTAGCATCCTCTAGCTCGAGGGCGCGGGTCGGCAGCGTCCTGTGTTAGAAGCCTGAGTGCTGTGCTTCCCAGAGCCGCGTCCTCGTGTTCGAAGGGGGCGTTCTGCGGGCCCGGCTCTGCAGCTGGCGGGGCGCTGAGCTGTGTGGGGCTCTGGGGTTTGCTGCGTAAAATCGGGAGCCCACGGTGAGATGCATTCAACTGAAGTGCGCATAAACGGGGAATGAGGTGTGAGGGGCGACGGCTGGGGGAAGGTTTGCTTCTGTGAGTGAGCTGAGGCCCTCGTGAGGCTTGTAGAACACGGGTTGTGGAGACCGGGTTCTGTATTGCACCCAGGTGTGGGAATTCCTGGTACAAGGGGTTTTCTCACCCAGCAGTGCCACGTGTGAGGTGCTGCCCTGATGTGCTCTGTTCCCTACGTGCTCAGCTGGGCTCCATTAGGGGCTCACAGCCTGCTGCAGCTGGGCTGACCCAAGGCAGTGTTCCCTGTGAATAATCCTGGCTGTTAGGTGCAGACTCCTCGTTCCTGACTCCTCATTCCTTCCTCCTACTCCAGTGCTGCCAAGCGGAAGCGCTGCAGTGGCGCTAACTGGCTGCTCTCGCTTCTGAGCACGGCCTCAGCCCTGGCTGTGGGATGCTTCCAATGCTGTGAAATTGTTGAGTTTTTACAGGTTTAAAGGCCAGATGACCACAGGGCTTTTCTGTTACCAACTTGCCCAGCACAACTGGGAAGGAGGTATTTTTATCTGCTCTGACATCTCTTGTCGCAGTAATCGATCCTCCTTTGTTTTTTCTGCAGCATAACTATAAATATCAGTGCTTCTTGTGGGCTGGAATAAGCTGGGCACAGCTTCACCTAGCGACAAGATGCTGAGCAATCCTGGAGTGAGTAAAGGAATGACCCAGGCAGCTGAGACATTGTGTGCAGGGATCAGTTTTTCAGGTGAGTACCTCAAAGGCAGGTCTGCCAAATACGCAATGAATTTGGAACTTTCTAGTCCCTCTTTCTGAAGGCTGGTTTTCCTTCGTGTGCATGGACTTGTATTCCGTAGTGCAGGGGAGATGCTTTAATTGCAGTGATGGGAGGGACCACAGAGCCCATCCAGGAGATCGTTTTCTGTTCCTTTCCTTGCTGGCTTTTTCCTTGCAGCCTCAGTGTCTCTCCCATGTAGCTCAGACAGTGGGCTCAGTTATCTTCTGAGTTCCAGCCTTGTTCTATACTTATGAATAAGGACTATACGGCTCTACCAGGTGTAGCCATGTTTCCTGATTTTTTTCAGTATGCTGAATGCAGGGCAGTGGTGGGTCCTGGACCCTTAGAGATCTTGCTTGGGATTCGGAGCAGTTTGGGTTGATGTTAGCCACTGAAACCAGCCTGCAGAGATGTTTGACTTCTCCAGTGCTCTGGCAAGAGGCTTCACTGTAACTGGGAGAAGAATTTAGAATGAACAATGATCTTGTAGGGCTGTGAATTCTGAATTTCTGCCTCTTGCTCTGTGGGCTGCAGACAGGTGAGAGAGGTGTAAGCCTTTTTCTGAGATGAAGATGGGATCACATCAGGTTCTTGATAAATAAAGGGCAACTTAAATTGGATTATAAAGACACGGATTGGCTTGTAAATATCCTGGAGGTGTGTCCCACTGTAACAGAAAGCATCCTGTAATTCAGAGAGAAGACGCTTTGTCTTCAGTCAAATGTTGCATCTTTGTGTTAAGCACAAAATGGAATTTGCTCTCAAAAGGCTGTCATAATTATGCACTGATAAAAGAGGATGCAGGTGTGTTTGGGCACTGAGCTCTCTTTCTGTCTCTGGATGGTTTGTTAGACTGAGGAGTAGCAATTCATTTTTCTCTTTTTGCTTTTAACTCCCTTGCAACTCAAAGGAGGTGGATTTTAGTGACGTGCCTCAGTTTTCTCAATCAAATAGTACACAGTTGTGCTCCAGGGTTTCTGTGAGGATGACTGAAGAAATCCTTGTGAGGGTCATAAGAACTTCTTGTGAATGTGCTCTAAGATCTCGGCGTGAAGGTCCTGATGACCTTAAAGCCATACGTAGAAACCTCTTGGGCTTCTGAGGGGCATCTGCTAATGAACAAATATTGTCAGTCACAGGCAGGAGCAGCTGGTCAGTGCGTAGGGGTTGTCAGAAGATGTGGCTTTCCCAGCATGCAGGACTCTGATAGCCCAGGAGATACGGTGCCAGGACATGTCCTTCATCATGCACTGACAGGCTGCTGTTGTGAAGGTCCCTCTGTCAGCCATGGCATCCCATGGGATGGGCACAGGGCAGTGAGCAGCCATTGCTGTAACAGCTGTGAAAGGATAAATGTGGAGCATGAAATTTGGTATTGGTCTCGTGGCTCACAGCTGCAGAGCAAGCTGCTTGCGCTTGGAAGTGTGGCAGTGAGGAGACCTGTAGCATCAGCAGCAGAGTTTCTTTGGCACAGCAAGGGGGGAGCAACTCTGGTATGGCTTTGGACTCATGCTTTTCCTTCTTGGTTGCTTTTAACCATTTCATAGGCTGCCTCTGCCCCTAGGTGGGGAAAGCATTTGTGTGTGAAGGGACCTGTGAGCAGTCAGTGGCAACCTTGGTTGTCTCTTTGGTGTTTCTCATGATCCTTTCAGGCAAAATGTCCAGCATGCAGCTAGGCAAATACACACTGAACAACTGGCTGACAAGTTGGGCTCAGGGTTGTTGTAAATGGGGTTATGTCCAGCTAGCAGACAGGCACTAGTGGGACTCTGCAGGGCTCCATTCTGGGGGCAGTCCAGTATTGTCACAGGTGTTGTGTGTGCAGAAGTTGAATTAATGCTAAATAAGCTTGCATATGATTCTAAATTGGGTGAAGCTTTGACTCCCATGAGGCTGGACAGCAGACCTGACAAAACCTGCAGGGCCAGCAGTTTGTTACCAGCTGGAGTGGGCTATCATGATCAACTGTAGGGACACACTGCAGTCACGTTGTGTCACTGCCAGGCAGCCCAGCTGTGCTGAAGTTAACCAAACTGCTGGAGCTCCAGCTGCTCTTCTGGGGGACTCCCATCCCTGAGGGATTGCCTGTGGTGTGGGATTTCCTTGGACGTGACTTCACTTTAGACTTGCTCCCCATGAGCCCAGTGACACTTTTGTTAGAAAATAGTCCATCCTGTTTGGATTAATATTTTTGTTGCTAATTTTGGAGGTAATGAGACACCACCGTGGCAGGCATTGCTCTCCTCGTGTAGGTTGTATTAAAAATAGACTTTTAAAAAGGGCCCAAGAAATTATTTTTTAAATGGCCCTGGATCTTTGTCAAGAGGGCTCTATGCTGTTCCTCTCTCAGCAGTGCTGCTTCCTCTGGGTTTGCCTTGTTTGCTGCCATATTCCTTGTCATATTATGTTTCACCTTTCCACATCCCACCAAACAGGACAATTCCTTGTGCCAGTCTCAGCAGGGCAGGAGGGGATAATGCTGCTGACAGATTGGAGAGCAGGTTGTTCCATAGGTGTCAAGGAGCCACGGGGTGCCTGTTCTGCTTGGAGGGGAGGACAAAAGGGCCTGGTGTAGTGGCAATGCAGAGTCACAGTTTGAAGCAGTGATTGACATGTGAGTGAGCTGCACGGCTGGGACTTCCACAGCATGGACACTTGGGTGTCACAGTTCAAGGATGTGAAGCTATTAGAAGGCATCCAAAGGAGAGCTGTGAAGTTGGTGAAGGGTCTGGGGAGGGCGAAGTGTATGATGTGGGATCTGTGTGGGAGCTTGCTGGAGATCAGATAGGAGAGATGTCAGTCTGCTATGGAAAGGGCTCTGGAGTGATCAGTCATCTCCAGACTGCCCCAGCCTTGCAGGCCCAGGCCCTTGACTTCCTACTGATGTCTCTTCCTACAGCTAGCTCCCTCCAAAGGTCTGCCTCAGCCTAGGAGGTTTCTGCTTGGTGGCGATGCAGATCCCCCTGTTTCTGTCCCAGTTGGCCCTATTTATAGATTTCAAATGATGGCAGCTGGGAAAAGTGAGACATGTGAAGTATGATGGACTCTCACCAATAAGGGGGGGTATTTATTGGAGCTGAAGCCTTGTTGTCATTGCACACCACGAGGAACTCTGCACATGTGTTGGGGGTTGTCATTTCCAGGACATGGGGCCTGTCATCCAGTACAGAGCAAACAAAACATTGTTAGAATGGAAGGAGGGATTTCTGCCTGAATAAATTATACCCAGTTATCACCACCTAGATAGCAGTCAACGCCAGGAAGCTTCTCCTGAGGGCTAAGATAACATCTCTCCCTTCATGTTTTGTTAGCAGTCTGATCTCCCAGAGCAGGATCGTTTGCCTTTCCTGCACACACGGGACAAGCTGAAGGAAAGCCAACTCAGCCACATCTCCCAAGTGATTTAAAACCTGTGGAGGGTGTTTCCATCACTGCTTCCAGTACTTGTTGTCATTGAGTGCGATAAAGCTGGCAGTTCAGTTGGGCTTTCAAATGTGCGTGGACAGCACATGGTTGCTCTAGGTGCTATCATTACCAATGCTAAATGACATCATGTGGTCTAGCCTTGAAAGGGACACCTGGTATTTATCCTGAATTGCTGCCTTGGATTGGAGCACTTAGTCTGATGCTCTCTCATTACTTCTCTTTTTTGTGTGCAATCCTAGGAGCCAGCAGCTGGGCTCAGAGACAACAGATGCAGACAGCGGTTAGTGCTCCAGCCAGCCTCAGCTTTCCCTGTCTAAATGCAATGTTGTGGTGTTGGGCAGATGGAAGGGAAAGAGCCCTGAGGAAGCAGAGGAGAGAGCAGGTATGTGGCCTTTCTCTGCAGCCTCCTCCCACTGCAAAGGTGTTTATCCTATTGACAAGCGCTGTGGTCCTTTCATAACTGCTGCATTAGCAGAGGATCAAGTAGCACTTAATGGGAGCAGAGTCCCTCCTGAAGTGTGATTGAAAAGGTCACCGAGGTGGAAGGGGAGAATATCTGCAGCAGGCTGACATGAGCCTTGGCTTCTGATTGGCAACAGGTGTATAATTGATGGGCTGCCCTCTCCTCCTTCCATGTATTGACTCAATGTTTTGCAGCGGCGCCGTCGAGCATCTGCTGATCTCAGTGGGTGGCAGATGAGAACACAGCCTGGCTGCAGGATTCAGGGAAGGGGTGATCTGAGGCCAAGTTTTGCCTTGTGAATTAGCAAAAGCAGGGAAATCACACAAGCTGTGAATGAAGCTTTCTCATGCAACTGCCCCAGGCGGGATGGATAGGCTGACCATGGCTGAGCTCTTCTCTTTTGGCACAATAAGGAGTTACGTTACTCAGGGCTGCCAGTTTTGCTGGATTTGCCTCTCCCTTCTGCTGGACCTCCAGTAGATTTGCTAAAATGAAGTTCCTTAGTCTCAAATTATGTACATTTTTAACATCCCCAGTTTGGCCAAGCCAGAAAGAATCTTATTACAGCCCCTGAAGTTACAAGCACATACTGATTGCTTTAAGTGTCGTCTTACCCTGCTCTCTTGCTGCTTTTGGTGTTCCATCTGTCTTATATGGTTTCATTTCGGAGACTGCAGAGCATTCAATCCAAGCCAAACTGCTGATGACAAGCTAATTAAAGATCTAGCAAGAGAGGAGGACTTTAATGAGGGAGAAGTGGGAGGAGAGGCAGTTTGCCAGGGCTGTGCTGTGACACTCTTGCTTAGGAGAGCTGATTGTGTGTTGTAATTGATGGTTCAGGGGAGCTATTCAGTACATGGACTGTAAGGCAGAGGAACAGAGCTGTCTTCTTATGGCATATCCTGAAATGCTGTGGTGGGATCGCAGCACCCAAGGGCCAGTTCTTCCTGCATACTGCCAAATAAACAGTTCTAACACGCAAGTGCCCTTCAACCCATCCTCAGCTTCTAAAATTCCTCTCACCAGGGTGATTATTTCCTGATTCTCGGCACCTGTTTGGACAGACAGACACACTGACATTTACAGAGCCTCAAGAACTGCAAGCTTTTATGCATACCTATATAAAGAGGTGTTGAAACCAGCAATCTGTAATTTACAGTCTGCAGCAGGAGATCCACTGGACGCAGCATGCTGGAGCATGAGCTCTGCTGTCAGCCCAATTGTCAGCTGGATGCCAAAGCAGTGGAGTGATGCCCCTTGGGTCACAGCTTTCTGCGTTGATCACAAATTAGTAGAGTCATGAGTCTTAAGAGAACTGCTGAGCTCCTGAGGCACTCGGCAGACCTTAATGAAGTGCTCTTACATGCGTGTACACAAACATGTGCATACGTGTGCTGTTGAATGGTGCTTGAATCATCACTGTTGCCTGTCAAAGAAGACATACAGTACTGTTTCATTGACACAAATGTTGGTTATCTGTGATTTCTACTGAAGAGGTGTAGAGGTATTTCTGGAAGAATTGATGCCTCCTGTTTGAAGGGTTTTGGCTTTGAGGCTCTCAGCTTCTGTGTAGTGCTGCCTTGTTAATTCAAGTGAGTGCTTTGTGTTACTTAAGGCTTTTTAAATTGTTCTGCTGCTGGTTAGATTATGTCAGTGCATACAGTTCAGTATAGATTGGCTACTGAAGGAGAATGCACTGGAGTAGGAATAGCAAATTGCTCTAATAACTGCATAGCAAGTCACTCCCAGCTGGCATTTACTGCAGCCAATGGTCTCCAAGTTCAGTGTCTCCTTGCCATTTGTCTTCCCAGACTTGAATACTGACCTGTTCTGCAAGGCAAAATCCTCACGTTTACAAGAAGGAAGAGCGAAGTCAGATCCTCTCTGTGAGTCGCTCTTCTGTCCAGCCCTCACCTCGCCATTCCTCAGATCTGATTTGAATCCTGTAGCTGAATGTTTGTAGAGACAACGTGCTGCTTACAGTGAACAAAGGGGAAAAGGATGTGGGGCCCTGTAGGAAGGGACACAGAAGTCACAGTGGATACCACGTTGTGGTTTGCTCATCGTGAAGTTATCTGCATCCTGGGCTAAATCAGGAGTATGGCCAGCAGAATGTGGGGCGGTTATAGAGATTGTAGGGCCAAACACTTCTTGGAGATGCCACGTAAAGCAGGCAGTGGTCACAGGTTAGCTCAGGGGTTTAGGTCTAGGAAGCTGATATAAGTTTGGGGCAGGTCATGAGAGGGGGTGAGTGTCTGTTTTTGGGGGAGAGTACACCCAGTGGAACAAACCACAGCTGCTCCAATGTGGGGTTTAAGGGAGTCCTGCAGAGCCCCTTTCACTGCTGGCTCTGTGATGCAGTGACCATCTACCTGGTTGGGTGCCTTTCAGGTTCACCAGGGCTTGTATGAGTGCTGTAATCTTGCCTATATGGAACAGTGGTTAGAACCACGTGATACAGAAAATAGTAAATCCTTTCTCCTAACTACAGCAGGGAGCACTGCTGCTTGGCTGCTTGGGACACTCACAGCTCTCCTGCCACCTTCTGACCAGGTCAGCATGGCTGGATCCCTGGGACCTGTGAATCATTTAAGAAATTGCTAGAAATACTGATGTGTGAAGGAGCCCTCGATGCTTCGAGACTTATAAAGGCAAACTGGGATCATCCCTCTCCTTTTAACCTCTGGTTGAGCTCAGAAATCAGCTGACATAGTTAAGCTGACAGTCATTAAATTTATGTGTCCTTTGCTTCTGTCATTCTGTCCTCCTGTCTGATCCAGCAATTTGGGTCTTTTGACCTTTGTGGCATGTAGCAAAGCCAGTGTATCTTGGCCTCTGCCTCAGACGCCTGTGGTTTGTTGTTTAAGGAAGTTTATTTCTCAAGGATGTAGTCATAAGGCAGCAATGTGTATTTCTATTTTTGTAGACATACCTAGAGAGTCAGGAAGGAGGCCAAAACCCTTCCAGAGAAGATGGGCAGCAGATCTCAATGTTCTTATCAATGAGATGCAAGTTCATAAACTGTGAAGGAGATACAAGGTGTAGATCAGGGTGAGTAAAGAAAGAAGACTGGAAAAACAAACTTGCCTGCGTGGTGAGATGACCCCAGAGGAAGGCAGTGATAAATAGCTGGGAAAGCACTTTGGGAAGAAAAAGCTGGAATTGTAGGGTAGGTGTGCAGGACAGGAAACTAAAGCTGTTTTAAAACTGAGCATGTAGTCTCAATATAAAGAATGCTCAGAAATATTGTCTTCAGGGTCGTGAAGGTGAGCAGCAGCCATTGCCGATTTCATTGCTCTGTACTTTTTAGAATCCTTTCTGTGCCCTCCTTGTTCTCTGTGCTGGGTTGTCCATCCTGCATCAGCAACCTTCCCAGCCTCCTGGTCTGCTGCTGCATTGGGGTGGGACCCCATTTCCTGAATACTGCCTTGAAAGGAGAGATAAGAATGTCCAGGAGGAACATCTTGCTTATTCTTTCCTTCTCCCTGTGATGAATGAGAAATTGTCAGGGGGACCTGGCTGGCCCTGGAGGCCAAGGGGGAGTCCAAAATTCTAATGACACTGAGGAATAAAGGCCAACCCTCTCAGATTATAAGCATGTGAGCTTTTCCCTCTCCTCTCCTCCACCATAGGCAGCTCTGCCCCTGTATGCTCACCCCGGGAGGAATAATACCTTTGTTCTCTTTAAAGCCCTCTTCAGAGCAGACACCACTACTGGGCAAAAAGAGGTGAGTAAATGGTGAGCCCAAAATAGGACTTGCCTGAAAAATGAGCTGAATGAAATAGAAAGCACATGAATGGCTGTGAGGATGGCCCATTTGCTGTCACAAACATAGACAGCTCTGAATCATGTGTGACTCTGAAATCTGTCAGTCCAAGAGATTGACAAGGACACATTGGCTTGGTAAGGCCCTAACTGCACACAATTTTCTTGCCACTCAGCTTGCCCCAGGGCAATGCACCAGCTCCCTCTAAATGCAGGGTTACTCAGGGCCTTGGTCTGGGTCTTGTTTCCTCCTGCTCAGCTTCTGGCATTGTCTGCCCAGCCAGCCATCCCAGAAGGCAGCCCTCCCTCATCAGTCACCAGTTCTGACACAGGATCTGTCTCTGACACCCACTCCTCCTTTCCTCCCTTCTCCCAGCCTTGCTGTGGTATATCAGCACCCCTGACATTATGCAGCCTGTGTCAGTGATGCATCCGTCCATCCATCTGCCATGAGAAGTGACCTGCTCACTATGTCCCTCCACCCTTCAGTCGGGCAGGAGTCTGCCTGTCTATTTGACTGCAGGCACAGTTGTGCTTTGAGGCAGAAAATACAGAGAGCATGTGACACCAGAGGCAACACGTAAAAAGCAGCTCATGGAGGCTGTCGGAGGACCAAGTTGTAAATCGGGCTGCGAGGTACAGTAACACAGTTCCTATTCAGAGGCTTTGCCTGTGGCAGTCTGTCACACATCAGGTCACTGTCATATGGGAGAGTGAATGAGGAAACTGGTTGCCATGTGGTGTTTGGAGGCTAAAAGCTCAGCTTTTATGATTTGTGATGCAGCATGGTCCCTCACAAGGCCAATGAGAGCTCCCAGCTGTGAGCCAAAGCAGTGTTGTGGGATGATATCAGAACTGCTTTGGGCCTGGACCCAAGACAACATTTGTAGGCTGGGTGCTTACTGTCTTGCTTCGTGTCATCTGTCCTGTTTTGTGCCTGCACATGGGAGCTCAGGTTACCCAGAGAGCAGTCAGAGCTTGGAAGGGCACATGTCTGTCTGGTGGTGGTGCTGGGCCAGGTGAGCTCTGCTCATCTCCTCAGCCATAAGCAGACAGTGACTTCATTTGAAGGTGTCTGGAAGAGGTGAATTAGAAGCCCAGTTTGGTTATCTGCAGGTTAGGTCTTGGCAATTTCTTGTATATGACAGTGCTTGGCACGTGCTCACATTTTCCTGCTGCTTCCTAAGATGCAATAATTGATCCAGTGTGCAGAGCTGACAGAGGGCTGGGGAAAGGGGCGTGCAATAGTTGTACAACTATCTTTTGTGACCATGTCTGCTCCTTGACTCCATTCTTCTTGAGCATAAAGCTGGAGAAGAGCACAGGATGGATAGCATTCTTTTTCACAACAAAGGTCCCTGGTTCCCAAACTTCATGCACAGGCTGTACGTCTGTGTTTTACCCTTGTCTTTATTACTTTCAGTTCAACTCCTAACAGGCAATTTAATGACTGAGTTGCAAACCTCAGTGTGCAGAGGGCCAGAGCTGGCTGTGCTTTAGGGTAATACTCTGTGGGTGAGCAATAAAATCTGCCTACATCGTAAATAAACCTGAATAGCTTATTTTGGCAAAGAATTCTCATTCCTGACAAATGCAGTTTTGAGACAGCCAATTACCACTTACTAATCTAGGATGAAATACTGTTGGAAACTGACATCCCAAGTCAGCTCTGACACAGCATTTGGTGGATTTCCAATGGAGTCTTCTCTCACATGTGTGATAGGAAATAATCTTTATGAGGGCTGTCAAAGGGAAGGGAATGCTCAGGCTTACAAATCACTGAAGCGGGTTATGGGAAAGGGATGTGTCAGGATTGCTAAGTAAAGCCTGTTACATAAGGCTGCCTGTTAAGTTTGAGGTCTGTTGAGTGAAGCATTTTCAAGTTTATCAGATGGGTTTTTAGCATCTCCTGTATTTATCTTCTTTTTGAAGCAGAAGCTCTTGTTCTGCAGCAGGACCTCCTGCATTTTGCTGTCTAAGTATGCATAAAGGCGTACCAGTGTGATTGTTTGGGATGTGTCACTTGCCACTTTAACATCTTGAATCTGTTGCTCTCTTTTCTCAGCAGGCTGTGGGCCATCACAAGCTCACACCAACAGGAAGGTTCTTAGCTGCTGAGGGAAGGTTAGGAGATCCTCATTTCAGGTGGCTGCTGTGATGCCGGGGAGCTGAGACTCCAACCTCATAGAACTCATTTCTTCAAAGTAAAAGAGTTAAGGAATAACAGCTCCATTTGAGTTACCTGATTTCTTGCACAATACACAAAATGCAAACCTTCCTGCCATTTTATCCTGGTGTGCCTCTTCCCATGCTTTCTTTACAATTGCTGACTCAAGCTCTGACCCATTTATGTACACTAGATCCAGGTGATTCTCAATAGATGTCTCCTACCAGAGGAATCCTATGCTGATGAGCAGGACCTGGTGTGCATCTGATCTCTGTTTCCAGCCTGGCCTAACGATTCCTAATCCTCAGTGAATGGCTTCTAGATAGCTGCTGCCATGGAGGGATGCACACAGATATGTGGGCAACAGCCCCAGCTGCTCTCAGCCTCCCCACAGGGACACAGCCTCGTGCTTTTCACCTGGAAGCTCCTAAATTCACAGTACAGGTGAGCTGGTGCTGGAAGTGTGCTCAGTCCTTCTCTTTTATTCATAATACCAACTCTAAAGAATTCTTTTGAAAAGGAATTTTTTTTTTTTTTTTGAGACTTATCCTTAAATCTGCTCTCTTTAAGTGAATCTTAATTTATCTGATCAGTTAGTTAACCTTAATTATTCTTGAGATAGGTTTCAAAACAATGAAGCTGTGGTTTCATTCAGGGCTGTTCAGCTGTTTTAATGAATTGCTGTGAGGAGGAAGCGCAACCTGCAGAAAAAGCTGAGCTTCAGCTGACTTGTGAACCATTGCAGAATTATGTTTATTACTGCCAGATTTGTGCAGCACCATTACTGGTATGGACTGAAATAACAACGAATAGGAGGCAGGTGCCTCGGGTTCCCATTAAAAAAAAAAAAATGATCTGGATGTCTGGCAGGATAACAGCCCTGTGACAGCCTGCACCTACCAGAGGGGGGAGAGATCAAGTGTGAGGGAGAGAGGCAGAAGGCGAGGCAGTGAGCAGCTGAGGATCCCAGGGACCCGGTGCTGATCCCACAGCTGAGCACGGACTGCAGGAGCTGCAGCTTCACCACTGAGCACACTGCAGAGGAGAGGGGGACCTTTAGGAAGTCGTGTGCAGGTGAGGGCTGCGTGCCTGTGTCAGTGAGTAGCTGGGGTTGCTGTGAGCTAATGGCTTGTTGGAGCTCCTCGAGATCGCCTTCAGGAGAGGGGATCAGAGGGAGAGGCAGGTCCTGATCAGCTCGCGTCTGCATGAAGGGGGGCTGTGAGCCCTTTGTAACGCTGCAGCTCCTGGGGCAAGCAGAGGTTGAAGGGGAGAGAAACGGTCACTCCTTGCATCGCGGTTGTTTCTATTTGGATTACTTCTCTGTTGGATGCTGCCATGACTTTTTAGCTCTGGATGAGACTTATTTTGTTCTGATCTATTCCTTCTGGACGGGGAGAGAATTTGACAGAGGACAATCTGCAGAAGGAAGGGGGGCTGCGTTCCCAGCAGTGGCAACCTCTGGCACTTCTGTGGGTGCTCAGCATTGACTTCTGCAGGCAAAGATCAGGCAGAGCACTACAGGAACAGTGTTGAGGTGTATGTTATGTGAAAACATTACGTATACATGTTGAAATGTTACGTTTGTGCATCCTACGAGGAAGGCGAGAAGGCTGCATGTGCTGCAGCCTTGTGGAGTTCCACAGAGATTTCAGTATCGTCTGTTTCACTAACAGATTTCCTTGCAGGTGAGGGTGTGGTGTATTAAATAGTTTGTAGTGTGAAGATTGAGGGTATTTTTTAACCTGTGGCTATTGGTAGGTTGGGCAAACAAATCAGAAGAGGGGGTATTCGTTATCTGTTCTAGTTTGAAGTGGGGAGGAATGGGAAAAAGCCACGTAAGTTGAATCCCTTGCGGCACCTGAATGTGCACAACTCCCACTGAGGCTTTCAGTGTTTGCTGCATTTATATAAGAACAGTTGTTATGAGCAAAGAAGGCGCTCATACACCTCATGCAGAGGTAAGAAAAAAAAAAAAAACAAAACTGTTTCCTGATCCACCTGGGTCGCAGCCACATCTGACAGAAAGGATGTCCTGAATTTCATGTGTGTGTGACTAGCAAGAGCAGTAGTGTCAGAATCACTTGACTGAATGTTGTATGTAGGGCTGCAGGTAACTCTTTGCCTTCACTGAACTTAGGCCTTCATTCCATTCTCTTTGCCCTTCCTTAACTGAGCGCAACTTTTTCTCACTTCTGTCAAAGTAAAATTTGAACCTGACTTCTGAATTTTGCATACCTTGCTCGTTGCTTATCCCTAAATATTTCTGTCCCAAGGCCTCCCTGTCATCCCCCTGACTTTCAGTGGAGGGAACTACCTGTGCTGCAGAGGAGTGCTGTGCCTTGGCTGTAGTGTGAGACTGGCTTTTGACCCTGTCTGTTGGTGTACAGGAGAGCATAGCCAGCTTTTTGGAACCACCAAGTCTTGTTTTCTTCACTTCTTGCTATGCCTGAGCTGTGCAGTGGGCACCAGTGGCTCTAGGAAGAGCTGCTTCAGTCATCACTCAGAATTGGTAGTTTTCATACTGATATACTGGAGAGGACAGGAATTAAAGGAAAACCAGAAAATTGGAAGAATTGTGTTTCTACTATCTTTCTAAAGTCAGTCCTGGAATATCTGGCCTGCAGCTGTTGCCTCTTTGATGCTTCTTCACTGCCCCATGTTAGGGGAACAAGCTTGCTTCCTTGGAAAATGCATCTTGTTTGCATTGCAGGCAGTGGGAGCTGCTGAGTGTTGCAGGTTTTCAGCAGGATGCAGTAGATTCACGGCTGGCATGCAGGGGTTAACAGGGCTTTTGGGTGGGCGGGTTGAAAACAAGCTGTGAAATGGAAGAAGGTCAGCCTCTTGGAGGGGTTTGCTCGGTCACAGATGGTTTTAAGTTATCAGTCTGTCTGTAGGGGAGGTTTCCCTTCCCTCTCCCCAGTACAACTTAGGTAAACCAGGACTGGAAGTAAGGCAAAGCTCCATAACAAAATGGTTAGGTTCAGAGGAGCAGGCAGAACTGTGACTCTTCTGGTCACTGCTAGAACCTGCTATATAGATAGTGGTACAAGCTGACTCCAGGAGCTAACAGCTGTTTGTTGCTAAATACCATCAGTAGTGCAGTGTTCAGTATGGAACGAATCACTGGGAAGGAAGGGAGCATTCATGGGAAAGGGAGCTGCAGGCGGCTCTGGGTGGCTTTGGGGCATTCCTTGGGCTCAGTCTGCAAGCAGAAGGCTCTTGCTGAAGTAGGTGAGAGCTGCGTTTGGATTTCAGTAAAACCCATACATGCTTATTGCAGGAGAGTTCCCATACTTGACGTGAAGAGTTACTGTCTTGAGATACTTGGTAGTGACTGGTTTCATTAAACGTGCTTAATGCTCAGGCTGCAGCGCATGGTCCACAGAGTGATGCAACTGCTGCTCTGTGCCAGTGAGAGGAGCGTCAAAGGAAGGATTCTTGGGATGATTGTGGGTCAGGGCAGGTGGAGGAAGGGGCTTCAGGAAACCCAGTAGAACACTGCTGGGAAGTGCTGTCTGCTGTGGCTTTTCCTGTGTGTTCACCCCCCACTGATTCTAGATTTTAGAACTCTGATCAGTTAGAACATCAAAGGAAAACTTTATTCTGGTTCTTGTAGCTTTCCAGTATGCAAACCATAGACAGCATGATAAAAATACTTTCAGTGCTAACTGCTGGAGCTAGCTCTGTATCTCAGAGTTGAGCATGAGGTTTTAATGTGTGTTATGAATTTAAAGTAATACATGGTACACAGGGCAAAGTTGAAAAAAATAAAAAATAAATGTGCTTTCAGACAGGAGTGAATGAAAGGGGAACCCCAGAGTGAGCAGCCCTGGTTGTGTGTTGTGCTGCTGGGGTGGATTTCAGTCACAGACTGGCCAGATCTCCAGGCACAGCCAGCTTTGTGGAGGAGCCTTTGCTCCCTAGCTAGCTTTCTGGTGGAGGAAAGAAGGTTCTCATTTTGCAAGGGTAGATGGGAAGCAGAAGGTTTTGGGGTGCAATGTGCTGCCCTTGCGTTGCCATGATAAACCTGTCTGTGGGAATAAGTGGCCTTGTTGCTGCTCCTGGGAATGGGAGTCAGTCTGTGTTTGCGCTGGAAGTCAAAGGCTGCAAAGGGAAATGTCTGCTTTGCCTTTAGCAGTGAAACTCTTGCAGAGGGAACTGTTTCCCTCAGGCATCTCAGTTGTCTGGTCTGTGTTGCTCTAGTATGAAGACCAAGCCCAGACTTGGTTGCCCAATTAACAGATGCCAGAATCCCGCATTTTTCTCCTAATGAATTAGGAGATTTCCTAAGGCCTTGTGACTCTGAGGCTACTGGTGTGTCCTACAAAACTTGGATGTCCGCCTTGTCCCTTCCTTAAACTATGAATCCACACGAATATTTGCACCTTGAGACACAAAGTCTTGACCCAAGTGGCACTTGGAAATCCAGCATGGCCTTGACTGATGGTCGCATCTGACCACGCTGGCTAGCTGCCGTGTTTGAGGCTTGCCAAAGGCACCGGGTTCAAGCATGCTTCCCATGCTGCACTGGGACCCAAGGGTTATAATCCTATAACCACAGACAGCACCCTATAGAGACATCCTGGTGAGGCTGCTGCTGAGTGCAGGCTTGGCTTCCCGGAGAGTGGAGAGGTGAGGAAGGAGCAAGAACGTATCATTTCTTTTGGTATTTCTTAGTGATGTTTAGGTCAGACTAATGAGGGATGTGGCTTCTTCCATACAGATTGCTAATATCTGTGACCAGGAGACCTCTTCAACTGCTATGAAGAGTTCTGTGATCTGAGGCAACAAACCAACAGCTGTGGTCCTGGGAGGAGCAGAATTGAATTAAAGCAGGATCAGCTCAGAAGCTCGACCTCTAAGGCAGTGAGTTTGGTCACGTCTCCTGGGATACGTGGCAGGGGTGATACAGAGCTGGGAGAATGAGATGCAGCCATTGCTGCCATGGTGGGCCCTGCTCTGTGATGCTGCTCTCTGAAAATTGTAAATGTTCTGGGTCTTCCCAGTGTCCTACAGCACACACTGATTTCCCTGGTAAGGTGGCAGGCTGTTGGAGTTCTGCTCTGGTTGTCCCATGGAGCACCATGTAGCATTGGTATGCTATGGTTTCTGATCTTGGAGACATCTTGTGATGGCAAGCAGGGGATATGTTGCCTTGTCTTCTGGATGCTTAGTAAAAGTGATGTATTTGCTCTGCAGACCTTGTTGCAAGTTTATTGACTGTGTGAAAATGTGTGTCTGTTATGAAATTTATGGATGTATTGTGCATATTGGAAGGGACAGACTGGCTTGAGCTTGAGTTGCCATCCCATGCCTGCTTCACCCAACTGCCATAACCTCAGTGTCCTGTTCACAGCTCTTAGAGCGCCGCTGTTCTGATTCACACAGGTGATACAGATGGTGTGTGAGTCCTGTGGGTGTTTTGTACCAGTGCTCTTTCACAAGCACACAGCTATATTGTATCTGTGCATAGAAACTGTGGGCAGCATGAGCCATTGCGTTATATTCATAATCCCTGAGGCAGGAGGGAAGATGGAGTCAAATATAGATTTACTGGAGGAATAAGTCACACAGAATCTGATCCATGGGCGTTCCTCCCCACTCCACACAAGACCTCCATTCATCACTGCAACACTTGTGACCTGCTCAGAAATTTTCATGAAGTCATCGCTTCTATAGTTGTTGGCCTTCAGTTTTGTGTTTTTTACAAAGAATGAGATTTTTCTTCAGGAATCTTCTGAAATAGGAGGATTCAAGCTGCAAATAGTGCTCAAAGTTGGGTCAATACAAGCCCAACCAAAGCTGAAAGAGAAGTTTTAAGTACAAGATTCTTCTTCTCAATGAGTATCTGGATCTGCTAGTGCAAAGTTCTGGAATTTGAGACAGAACATGCAACGGTTTGGTGTTTGGATCACTCACTTGGTTGGGGGTCTTTTGTTTTCTATATGAATTACAAAGAGAAATAGAATCTTAGAATGGTTTATGTTGAATGGGACCTTAAAGATCATCTGTTTCCAAGGGTTGCCAACCAACAGATCAGGCTGCCCAGAGCCCCATCCAAGCTGGCTTTGAACACCTCCGAGGATGGAGCATCCACAGCTGCTCCACACAACCTGTTCCAGTTCCTCACCACTCTCTGAATAAAGGATGCTGTGTCTGTTACTGTTTATTTTCTTATAATGGTCTGCATTGATGGCTTTGTGCCATGTGTGTACTGTGCTTGCACCAATGTCTGCAGTCCATCCTATGCTCCTGGACCCATTCCCTGTGCATCAGTCCCTTGCTGCCTGTCACTTCTCTTGGATTTTACCTGACTTTGTTCACCAGTCTCTGCCAGCCGTTATGTCACCTCTTTTCTGTGCATTCCATGTCTGCAGCTCACAAGTAACTACTTGTGATACTACCAGTACAGCTGAACCCTGGGACTCCCAAATGTTTTGGTATACTTAGCTGATACGTGACCCTATTGTCAGTAGTTGTCAGTGGTCGAGGGCTTGCTCTTGCCCTATTGGGAGCAGTGGAAGCTTTGTTGCTGTCTCTTGAGGGGACATCTCTGCAGCTGAAGACCACATGGCCTTCTGCAAAGGGCACCAAATAGCCAGGTGTTGGCTATCTAAATGAGGCTAGCGCGTGATGATGAGCTCCTTGTCAAAGAATTGAGTGTTGAGCTCCTTCCAGCATTAGCCCTGCTGTGCCAGGACTGGTGGTGAGCAGTGTTTCATGCAGGAGGGGTAGTTTGCCCTTTGGAAGTATTTGGCTGCCTGTTTTGAGTAAATAGCAACATTGGTGATCGTGTCAGTTTGGAAAGCTGTGGTGCAGGCAGCTGTGAGTGGAGATATGGATTCCAACATGGCAGTTTTTGGAAGGCTTTTGCTGTCTTTCATTTCTTTTAAACATTCTATGATTTCTGTATATCGGGGCTGAACCCAAGTGAAGGTAAAACAAGGTTATCCATGTAATGAGGGAGCCAAATCTTTAGAAATAAGCAGGGCAGGTTCTGAAGGTTTCTGTGCCAGCTGATGTGGTATTTTCAAGTGCGCATTTTAACACGGAAGGCATGAGAAAATGTGATGTAGTTGGATTAATTACACTGGAGGAATGTTCTCTTGCATATTCCAGCACTGTTATTTTAACTGTGCAGTCAATGTGTGGTATTAAGATGCTTCACTCTCGCTCTCCAGAAGACAAGAATTCACAGGAGTGTGAGGACTCACAGCAGCTTATCTTTAATCCACGTGAATTTCTGCAATACTTACGGTCCAGTAAACTCACCAGTTTACACATGAAGTTTCTCAATGGCTTTGGACCTGAGCACAGTGTTGATGTTTCAGTATAGATGCTTCTCAGAACTGCCTCGTGGGGGAAGAAGAGCTGAGAAGCGAAGGGTGAATGTGAGCCAAACACAAAGAGAGCTTGGGGGAACGCTGTTGCAAGCTAACGACAAGCAATCATGTTTGTTTGGAGTTGGGCATTTCAGCCTGCGGAGTGGTGACACGTTTAGGAAGGTGCAAGACTGCAAGAGGCAGTAGGGGATTATGGTGTTTGCTATTAATACAGGTCAGTGCCTCGGAGGGCAAACGAAGACCATCGGGAGGCAGCGATGGAGGGTCCCTGAAGGGCTGTGCTGCGCAGTGCCCTGCGTGCTGCAACCTGGAAACGTCTTCTGAGCTGTCAGTTTTGCACTTTTCCTTCCCACAAGCTCTTCCTTCCCTGCAGTTGCAATTCTTATAACACTAGAAGCCTTTTTTTTTTATTATTTTTTATGTTTTTTTTAAACAGAAGTAGATACATGATAATGCCAAAATATCAATGCAGGCAGGCGAGAATACGGATATGGAACACCCACACCAGATTGGAGCTGAGGTGGAAAGAGAGGAACTGGCTGTCATTCACAGTCTCATGTATCATTTTCCATTCCTATTGTTTTACATGCATCTCCACTGAAGTTAGAGAGGCAAACAATGATTTTCCAAGGAGTCAGAGTTGATCCTGCTGTTGCTATGAGTTAGTATAGTGTGTAGAGCCCTAAAATGAGGGTTAGGCTGAGGACCACATTAGAGCCAGTGGAGAGAGGTCTGTGTTCTTATCTGCAGCTTCTGATGAGTGGGAAAACAGTGCTTATCCTTCTGGTTCAGAATTTGACCCCAGAATACTGAGTTCCACTGCCCTTGTTCTGTGAAACATGGCACAAGTGATTTTTGTTGGCTGTGTTTTACCCTCAGTGAAACCAAGTATCACACAGATAAACAAGTCTGACCAAACCTATGAGGAGGAAATGCTGGGGTCCAACCCAGAGCTTTCATCAGGCACAGTGTAGCAATCAGGGAGCAGAAATGACATGGTAGGTGTGCTGACCAAACCATCTGCCTTTTCAAGCTGTGAAGAGTTGCATGTTCTTGTGTGACTCTTGTGTTGAGTGAAGGAGTGCAGAGGGTAAATAGAGACAGCATTTAATCCCACATGGGAATCTAATCTAATTGCTCTTTCAGAGCTTCAGTAACTCAATAGTTTCTGCCCGTATCTCTCTCATATGACAAGGAATCTGCTTGCACGGTTTGCTTGCAGGATGATGATGTGTTGCTTTACATGTTGACCACTTTATAAATACAGAGAAAGAAGCAGCTTCAGCAAAGGGTCACACAAGAGACAATAACTAGTTAATGCCAAATTTACACTTTGCCATTTCCTTCTAGAGTAAATAGTAGCTTATGGTCTGCACTGAGGCTTGTTGCTAATTTAGACAAGCTAATTTAGATCAGGATGTGCTTCTGCTTCGTGCCTCAGTTCAGACATCCATCTCCGTAGCTTTCTTCTCAGCAACTGCTCTTACCATCCATCAGAACTCACCATGTGAGTGCCATGTGGTGTAATATTTGCTTGAAACACGAGAGGAGGTTTTGGAGGGAAGCCAGATGACATGGAAACGAGGAATGTGTCTGAAGGATGCTGTTAGATGTGTTTGTTTACCATTTAGGCCCTCTAGGCATTTTGCTACCTGGTTTGTGTTGTGCTGGTGGTTCAAAATTGTTGTTATGTGCTTTGGAAAGAGGCAGCAGAGCTGTGTTGCCTGGCAGGCCTTTCTCAGCTGGGATGTAGCAAGTGAGAAAGGAGAAGCTGCATCATAACAGCAAGCAATATTGAAGTCTTTCATTTCCCTTCTGAGTTGCAAGTAATGAAATGTTTCTTCTTTGCAGGAGGACCTGTAGTCTATTTGTATTGACCACAAGCAGCCAAGCAAAGCACCATGACAACCCGTCCGGGAGGTGAGAGAACAGTCAGAGCTGTGACACCTGTGTGCACTGTACCTGAGAATAAGCCCAACTCGTTCTTGGTGTTATTTGCAATGAGGTGTTTACCTCACCATGGCGAGGAGAGACGCTGCTAATAGGCTTGTTGGGTTGTGCTGACCTTTGCAGCAGTGTTTTCCTTATGCCAGATTTTGAAATTGTATTGATGTAAAGCATTCTCTGTCCAAAGCATTGCGAGGCATGTTAGCTGACGCTGCCCCTGGATTGCCATCTTGATTGCAGATCTTCCCACTTTGGTCATAGCTTTGCAGTAAGTCAGCACAAAGACACAGGCAGAAATCCCCCAGCCTTCAGGCACGTTCCCAGCCTGTAGCATAAGAATGGAGAGGTCTTGGCTCAATAAAGGCTGAGCAGAAGCAGTTACTGTTCTACAAGGAGATTATGTGGATTGTGAGACCATTTCTAAGGCATAAACATGTTGTCTTAATGGAATGCGTTTTTTTCCTTGTCTTTCTAGTGAAAACTCTCCAGAAATCTTCCATCCGAGGAGTTCACATTACCCAGTTTGTGGATAAGATTCCAAAAGGATGCAGCACACCGGACTTTGAGCGGAAACCTGTCAGTCTAACATTGCAGGAAGGTGAGATTCTTTAAAAGAAATAAATGAAAGAAACCCAAACCACCAGTGAAAGCTGCGGACCTGCAGCCCTGATTCCATGTCTCAACTCCGAGTCAGCAGGCTGAACAGCTTCGAGCACCCTACATTTCTTCTCCTGCCTTTGTGTCGATTCTCATTGTCCCCTGAAATGTTATGAAGGAGTGCAGTGGCCTCTAGTGGTGTTTCCTTCCTTCTACCAGCAAGTTTCATGTATGAAGCAAGGCAGTGCTGTATCATCCTGTCTGAATTTTTTGTTGTTTCATCTAATACAGGCTGTGCATAGCTCATATACAGAATACTAGGGCATTAAGGTCAGGCACTAAAGCAGAGTTCACTGTTTATGCAAATGCACTGTGAGTATCGTTAATTATATCATCACTGCTTCGTTTTGTTCAGTGTATCTGTTAACAGGTACTCCTAGCTGTTAGAATTTGACAGAAGTGTAATCAATTGGAATCAGCTTTGAATAATAGGCAGTTCTGGTACTGCAGTCTCAAAAGAAGTTTGAAAGAAATGCCCTTTGGTAAGAATCTGCTGGCTTCATGGCCAACAGAACTTACTGAACCATACCTGCTTGGTTTTGGTGGTGACTCTTTAGAAGGGTGTGGAAAATATTGCAAGACTTTCTGGGAAGATGCTTTTACATTGTTGGTCATCTGAAGACCAAAGTTGTTACGAAGGAAAGATAGTAATCGTTTCCTCCATGAGTTGCATCCACTGATCTCCATTACCATCCCAGTGGGACACTCCCACTCACCTACTCATGAGTCACATCTCTGAATTGTTGTATTATATTCCTATGGCTTTGAAGCTCTTCAGTAAAAAAAAAAAAGCATTTGCACTAAATAGTGGTGATGCTGTTGGGGTTTTCAATGGTCAGATGAAGGATACTCAGGTTGTTAGAGGAGCAGAGGTGAAGGAGGGAGCTCACAGGTGAGCACCATCCTCTTCTCCCTTCCTCGCATCCTCAAATAACAGAGCCTGTTGTGTTTGGAGTGGAAGGGAGTGCCAGGCCAGCAGATTAGAAAGGTATTCAGAAAAGATTACATGTATAGAGCACATGAGGAAACACCCTGGCCTGCCTGGGTCCTCCCATTTTTTCTTTACAGACAGTTAAGGTACAGCAGTGGTGGCTTACTCTGGAGAATGCTCTATTGATAACACAGGGAGCCCGTCATGAGGCTTCACGTTCAAAAACTAATCTCTTGCCTCTTTTGACAGGTAAAAATGCCATATTCAGAGCTGTGGTCAAGGGTGTCCCCGCCCCTGAGGTGAAATGGAAACGTGCAAAAGGAGAAATAAATGATCCTGCCAAATATCTGATGTTCTACAGTCCAGCTACAAGCGAACACATTCTGCAGGTAAAGATCAAATACTGCAGAGCACACACAGAACAAAGAGTGCCATGAAAGGTATAAATGTGCAGTGGGTGCCGGGGGTGAGAGCATCAGCAATTAGAAGTGTGTGGGTGACCAAGTACCAGAAAAGCATGAAACTGAATTTCATCACTCCATCCACGTGACGATGATCAGGATGAAGTAGGAAGAGGATCTGAAGGTCGAGGTAGATGCAGGTTCCAAAGGTTAGAGGAGATTTCATGATGTGGGTTTCCTCTCTTAAAACGTGTCGAGGGAGAAAATGGTCCAGGTGTTTCACAAAGAAAAGCTGATCAAGATGTCACCAGGTCTGAAGCAGCACAAAAGTTGAGCAGAATTGTAGGAACAGAAGATCTGAAATTCCAGCAAGTAATGTTTTGTTAGGATTTGTGTAACTGAACCACAGTGCATGACTGAGTTCTTACTGTGTTCTTCTTTTTAAGATAAATAAAATCACTGCAGGTGACTCTGATTTGTACCGTTGCTTTGCTGTAAATGAATATGGGGAAGCTTCATGTTCTGCTGGCCTCAGGATCATACAAGGTAGGATTGACAGTTTCTGTAATGCAGGTATCCTGTGGTCCCAAACATTGGGCTTCGCTGTCCTCTGCAAGTGGGTGCCCAGAACATTGTCCAAGCATCTTCAGTGTGCAGAGCTAATTTCTTCTCACTGAGGACTTGAGTTCTGGCAACTCCCCCCCTTTGATGCTCCATGACAACATGAGCTTTAAGAAAAGACAGAAGAAGCTGGATGTTGTGATTGTTGCAATAGACCATGCTCAGAAGCTCTGGATTTAGTGCTGAATTGACTTGATCCTTTGTGATGCTGGGCAATTCAGGCAGTCTTTTTGGGGGGATCCATCTCATTTCATTTCAAATGTCTCCACCTGCCCTAGCCCACTGTTCCCCTTCATAGTCAGTGGAGAGAGATGTGTTCTTCATGGCTAAAATATAGCTGACTGTTCTGTACTGGAGCTGAAGGTGTGGACTACTTTGGAAGTGTCTGCTTCACCTACCTACCTATGAAATAAGCTTAGGAAGCAATTACCTGCTTTGTGCCTGGTAATCCTTGCACCCTAGCTCTCTAAAGAAATATCAGTATTTCCCAACATTACTTAAAATACAAGCTTTATAGGGTAGAGACCTAGACATCTAATGAGCACAGAAGCAATTGCAGTAGAAATACAGTGTTAAGGATGTATATTTCAAGGAATCAGCATCAAGTTGACAAGGAAATCCAAGCTAGAATTTATTTTCCTCTTGCATTAATGACAGATGTATTGGTTTTATAATTCATAGTCTTACTGATATATAGTCTGTTATCTTGTTTATCTGATGGATTGTTTTTCCTGTTTTTTCTCTTCTAAACTACCAGTTGGCTTTAAGAGGAAAGCAAACTATGTGACTGGCCATCCTGCTGAAGGTGAGTTAGATGAATATTTTTGGCATACTGAATGCTGCTCAGTCTGGCACATTGCTGCTTATTCTGTTAGTGTGAGGAGAAGAATCAACACGAAGTCAGACATTGCATGGTGAATGTAGAAAATGCCAAAGGCCTTTGAGGAAGGAACAGGAGAGTATTGCCAGCTCTCCCCCGCCTCCCAGTCTTTAACAGGGGGTAGAATGATTAATTCTTGAGACATGACAGCAGAAACAAAAGGAACGTGAAGAAATTGTCCCCATGCTGAATGGGGAAAAAAAACCCAGCAATATAATTTAGGAGTTTCTCTGTCTTTTGTGGCCTCGGAACTTACCCCAAACTTGCCAAGAATGGAGTAGGAGAAAGGTGATAAATTTCCAGAGTTCTGTGCATACTGTCTGCTTGGTGCTTACCTTTGGGTAAGATGGCATGTTAAAATGTGGCTTTGAGCTGTTACAATTAATGATTCCTTTTCCTTTTTGTCCTCTGTAATAGAATTGAAAAAGAGTCTTCAGGACCTCAAGAAGACGCTGAAGAAGCGGTAAGCCTCCATGTAATGAAGACCATTTTAAAACTTCCCAGATGCTCCTTGGTGTGATAACTTCTTAAACCTTCACGTCAACTCTTTGTTTCTGAAGTTGCTCACCATATGGAGAGATGTGGGAGAACAACCTGCCACCCTCTGTGAGGCCAAAAGGCCCCAATAGGTCCCAATTTTTCTTTTCTACGTGCACAGGGACAAGTGAACTACAGAAATAACAGAGAAAGCTGAAAAGAGGACACAGTGTAGAGGAATAAGACGCCTTGTTTTCTGTCCAAATTTCTTGATATATCTTTTTTTCTTCTTGGCTCTAAGGGCTCCACTACCAAAACAGAAAGTACTGGACAAAGATGCAGTCTTCCAACTGTTGCTGCATGCAGATAAGAAAGATTATGAGAGAATCTGTATCAAGTATGGAATTTCTGACTTCCGTGGCATGCTGAGAGCGCTGCAGGATTTGAGGAAGGATACGGAGAATGAACAAGCAAAGGTAGGATAAACTCTGAAGCACTGGAAGCACCGAGTTCTAAACAAACTGCCAAGTCCTACAGTTACTGAGTAGCTTCTGAAAACAGACTGAGACCTTCCTACATTGCTTTGAAGGTGAAAATTTTATTGTATGGCAAGGAATGATTTGCGGCGATGCTTTAAAGTCCTGTTTTTTACATGTGGACCGAAATGCTACTGACTTTTTTGAAGTTGACTTCATAAATTTCAGGAGATCCTGAGTTCAGGATGATCCATTGATTAAATTGCATATCCTCAGAGACAGTCGATTACACAATTTAGCTAATTTGAGCACCAAACTGAAGATTTATATGCACATACAAACCATGTGGAAACCTGGGCAGGAAGAGGTTGTAGGTTGTATGAAGGGCATCACACGTTAAATACAATTTGCCCACAGGAGGCAACTCAGGAAACTTACAGGTGCTTCTTCCATACACATGCAGTTAGAAGTGGCTCTTTTCTGTGCAAGTGGAAGGTAGATTTCACACTAGTTCAACAGCTTAAGGACTTCTGTCATGGTAACCTTTCTTTTTACTAAATTCTTGTTGTTAATTTTGGTTTGTTTTTGTTTTATTTTTCCAGTTAATTCACAGTATCAAATACATGGAACACATTAAGGTCAACAAGGATGGAAGTGCTTCGTTTACTGTGGAGATGGACCTGAAAAGTGCTAGCAGCAACATTTATCTGCTTAAGGTAGGAGAGGAGAAATGAGTTGGTCAGTTCTTCTGGCGCTGCAGTTGTCTGCATGAAATACTTCATTGATTGGGCAGCATCTGGGAGCAAGAAAGTGTCTTAAAGAAGTCTGTCCATTGCAGAGTCCTTACCTGACTAGATAAAAAGTGTTGGCTTGGTGGTCCAGATAGTTTTTAGTGGTGAATATCGCTTAGGATTTATTGATCCTAGTACAGCAGAAAGACTTCAGCCAGTTACTGACATCTTGTTGACTTCCAGAGCTCTTCAGGTAAGAGGAAATTCTAACTGTGGCTTTCAGGATGCACATATTCTGTGCTCTCATGTTGGAAAGACAGATTTAATTCACTTGAGTGTTATACACCATTCTAATTCAATTTTGTGAAAGGAGATATCCAGGAAGGAAGACATCTCACGGAGTCCTGTAGTCACTCTGCTGTGATGCCTGTGTGATCGGCGCTGTGGATGTTTTTCTGGAAGATGCATTGCAGTAGAATTGTCGTTAGTAGCTTTAGCACAGGGGAAAATGGGCTGAATTAAAGAGGAGGTCAGAATAAGGGCTTCCAAATTGCAATCTGTGCAGTCACAGCAAGGGCAAGGGGCTCAGATGTGTCACACATGGGAGAGTGGCAAACTTGCCTGTTTTTCTGTTTGTGGAGGTACTAAATCTTCAAAGTTGCAGCAGCTGTGTATTAGTTAAGCTTCAAAACCTGACATAATCTCACAAAGCACTTGGCCTAACGTGAGAGTCAGACACTGTTCTGTGCAGGTCTTATTGCACATTTAATTGCCTGTGTTTTGTATGAACAGTGAGCACTGCCCACTGCAAGTTGTAATGGAGTGTAGACTTTTCTCTTGTTTCTTGTTGGTATCAAGAAAGCATTCATAGCAAAAAATTTAGCCTGATTTTTTTTTTAAATGCCTTCTGCTAATTGTATGCTGCTTCTGAGAGTGCTTTGTTTCTCTTCCTAGGATGGTGAGAAGGTCCGTTATGGAACTGGGGATGAATACAGAAAGTATTACCTTAGACAGATTGGAAAGAGGTATCATTTTATTGTCAACGATGTGCATCCAGAAGATGCAGGCTTGTATCAAGTCAGAGTGGAGGATGTACCTATTTTCTCAACTGAGCTGGACGCTGAATGTAAGGTTTGAGTTAGATATGGGTAATGGGCAGCTGTAACAAGAATTTATTTTCCACATAGGGCCATCTGCAGAGCTCAGCAGCCACAGCTGATAACAGCAGAAAAGTGGTTTTCGTGTTGCCACATAAGGGTTTGCTCCTTATGACACAGGTACTGAACAGGTGATCGTCGTGGATGGATGTTGCATTTGTATTCCACAGGACGAGGTTTGGGTTCTCAGCTCTGGATGGCAATGGACAAATTCATTAGCTGATGCTGCATTTTTGTCAGCTCAGAATAATAACTGCCAACCTTAATGGTGATGTCATATTGCTGAAATAGATTAATGACAGCAAATTTACAGCACATCACAGCGATGGGTGTATAAATGTTGATGCTAAGATTAACAAAAAGACCAACGCCTGCCTTTCTCTCCTGTAGAATTGGGCACAGGAGCAGATCCCAGTTTTTTTTTTGCTGCCTGACGCAGTGTTCACAGGCGTAGCAACTTCCTTTCTTCCTTCAACAGCAACACATCTTTCTGGGAGGACAGAACTGGCTCCATTTCCTTTCTTTTCTTCCATTCCAGCCATCCCTGTGAGATTTCAGAAGCCGCTCAGAGATCTGCATTGTCACGAGGACGAAGATGTTGTGTTTGATTGTGTCCTGCGCTCTCCCTGCTTTGATGCTGTGTGGTTGCATAAAGCCCATCCCCTCGAGGCAAGTGAGAAGCACCAGATCTCTGTGAGCCCCGATGGCCTGAGCCACCAGCTTATCATCAAAAATGCTGTGACCGCTGACAGCGGCTTGTACACCCTCGACACTGGACTCTGCTCCTCCAGGGCTTGGCTTCTTGTAGAGCGTAAGTGACACTCCAAACAACGTTCCCTCAATGTCTTATTGGTTGCTGAGAAGGGAGATGAGGAGCCTCTAGTTTCTAAGTAGCGCTTGTAGGAATGGCAGTCCGATTGGACCTTCTTTCCTCTTGAGATGTGACAGCATTTTCCCTTGTTGTTTGTCCTGACGTGAGGTCCTTCAGAGTTGGGAACTGATGGACTCTCTGTGCATAGGATGTTCTGTAACTCATTCAGGGCTGGAGGGAGGAAGAAGGCATGAAGGAATGAATCCCAGATACTGCCTATGGTCCTATTAATTGGACTCATCCTGCTGGAGATGTGCCCTCTTTTTTCCATTCCTAAGAGTTGGTTTTTCCTTTCTGCTTTTATTTGTTTTGTTCTTTTGTAACAAGCAAGCTTTGCTAAAAGTGGTTGTTAGAAATATAAAACTGTCTTAGTATGACAAATAAAATTAGGGTTTGAACTGAATATAAGTTTATTTAAATGAAATAAATTATATTTCTGTGACTTAGAATGAAGTAACTAATGCTGACATGTTTTCTGTGGTTGTTGATGCAGTAGGTGACATACTGATTGCCTGTTGCTTTTTTATCTTTCTTTTGCTCTGAATTATTTCTCCTCCAATCAAACACTACGTCTTCAATACAGATGCCAGAGAGGCAAAGATACAGGATGAGGAACATGAAAAATCTGACCATCAGAAGGGAACGCCAGATAAAGACAGAGCTAAGAGGCTTAAACGTGGAGAGTATGTTGGCGATGAAGATCATCCTATGGATGCTGGCATGAAAAGAGGTGGCTGGCACAGGAGTGACCACGGCGGCGGTCAAGGCTACTCCCCTGATGCTGATGGAGAATTTAAACTTTTAGGAAAAGAAGGGCTGCACAAAATTGGGGATGAAATCATGGGGCCTGGGCAGTTTGCTAGAGAAGAGGACACTGGATTAAAATTTGGAGAAGACAAAATTGGATTGAGGCATGTACACAGTCAGGATTCTATGTCAGGCAGAGGAGATACTGATGATGGATTAGGAGGAGGAACTAAATCTCATTCTGTAGCTGGTAGACATGATAGCATGTTAGGTGCAGCTGATGTTGACATGGGTGATGCAGAAGGTGCGTACTCTTGGCATGACAAGAATGCTAAACTAGGTGATGCTAGTTCTGGAGCTGCCTTTGGTGGTATGAAGAGTTTAGATGCCACTGATGGAAGTTCTGTGTCAGGTGGAATCAATCTTGGTTCAGCCGGAGTGGGAGGTGCGCATTCTGTCTATAGCAAGGATGGTCTGCCTGCTGCAGTTGATATGAATGCAGTCAGTATAAATAGAGAAGGAGAAATAGGGTCTCCCTACAGCAAAGGAAACCTGTTAGTTGATGCTGGTGGTCATGTAGGTCAGGCGGGAATGTCTGGCTTGCTGTATGGTGCAGGTGGTGTTCCAGCTGGAGATGGGGGCAGGCCTGGTGCAGGTGGCAGCTTTGTAGGAGAAATGGAGGTTTTATACGGTCCAGATGGTCTACCAGTTGGGGCAGGTGTTGATGCTAAAAGGGGGGATCTGTATGGGAAGCACGGTCAGTCAAGTGAACCTTATGGAAAGGATGGTTTACCAGCAGGAATGGAAGCAGGGCTTGGTGGTGCTGGTTTGGAAGGTGCCGGCTCTGTGTATGGAAAGGGTGCAGCTGGTGGTGCAGCTGGTGCAGGGCAATTTGGGCCGTTATATGGAAAAGATGGACTCCCAGCTGGGGCTGTCATTGGTGGCACTGGTGCAGGGGGTGTTGGGTCTCCATTTGGGAAGGATGGTCTCCCAGCTGGAGCTGGGGCTGGTGTTGATGGTGCAGGTTTAGCTGGTGCAGGGGGAGTTGGGTTTCCATATGGGAAGGATGGTCTCCCAGCTGGAGCTGGTGTTGATGGTGCTGCAGGTTTAGCTGGTGCAGGGGGAGTTGGGTTTCCATATGGGAAGGATGGTCTTCCAGCTGGAGCTGGTGTTGATGGTGCAGGTTTAGCTGGTGCAGGGGGAGTTGGGTTTCCATATGGGAAGGATGGTCTTCCAGCTGGGGGTGGTGTTGATGGTGCAGGTTTAGCTGGTGCAGGGGGAGTTGGGTTTCCATATGGGAAGGATGGTCTTCCAGCTGGAGCTGGTGTAGGTGCTGCAGGTTTAGCTGGTGCAGGGGGAGTTGGGTTTCCATATGGGAAGGATGGTCTTCCAGCTGGAGCTGGTGTTGGTGCTGCAGGTTTAGCTGGTGCAGGGGGAGTTGGGTTTCCATATGGGAAGGATGGTCTTCCAGCTGGAGCTGGTGTTGGTGCTGCAGGTTTAGCTGGTGCAGGGGGAGTTGGGTTTCCATATGGGAAGGATGGTCTCCCAGCTGGAGCTGGTGTTGATGGTGCAGGTTTAGCTGGTGCAGGGGGAGTTGGGTTTCCATATGGGAAGGATGGTCTTCCAGCTGGAGCTGGTGTTGATGGTGCAGGTTTAGCTGGTGCAGGGGGACTTGGGATTCCATTTGGGAAGGATGGTCTTCCAGCTGGAGCTGGTGTAGGTGCTGCAGGTTTAGCTGGTGCAGGGGGAGTTGGGTTTCCATATGGGAAGGATGGTCTCCCAGCTGGGGGTGGTGTTGATGGTGCAGGTTTAGCTGGTGCAGGGGGACTTGGGATTCCATATGGGAAGGATGGTCTCCCAGCTGGAGCTGGTGTAGGTGCTGCAGGTTTAGCTGGTGCAGGGGCAGCTGGGTCTCCATATGGAACAGATGGTCTCCCAGCTGGGGCTGGTGTTGATGGTGCAGGTTTAGCTGGTGCAGGGGGACTTGGGATTCCATATGGGAAGGATGGTCTCCCAGCTGGAGCTGGTGTAGGTGCTGCAGGTTTAGCTGGTGCAGGGGCAGCTGGGTCTCCATATGGGAAGGATGGTCTCCTAGCTGGAGCTGGGGCTGGGGCTGGTATTGGTGCTGCAGGTTTAGCTGGTGTAGAGGCTATTGGGTCTCCATATGGAACAGATGGTCTCCTGGCTGGGGCTGGTGTTGGTGCTGCAGGTTTAGCTGGTGCAGGGGGAGTTGGGTCTCCATATGGGAAGGATGGTCTCCTGGCTGGGGCTGATGCTGGTGGTGCAGGTTTAGCTGGATCTCCATTTGGGAAAGATGGTCTCCCAGCTGGAGCTGGTGTTGGTGCTGCAGCTTTAGCTGGTGCAGGGGCAGCTGGATCTCCATTTGGGAAGGATGGTCTCCCAGCTGGGGCTGGGGCTGGTGTTGGTGTTGCAGGTTTAGCTGGTGCAGGTGAAGTTGGGTCTCCATATGGGAAGGATGGTCTCCCAGCTGGGGCTGGTGGTAGTATAGCTGGTGTAAGGGACGCTGGCTCTTCCTATGGAAAAGATGGTCTCTCAGCAGCAGCTGGGTCAGGAGCTGCTCATTTTCCTTCAGGAGGCGAAGAAGTGATGGGATCTCACCGTGGTCGGGATGCTATGCTGGGCAGAGCTCAAGGGTCTCTGGGTGGAGCAGGAGGAGCTGGCTTGTCCTCAGAAGGTGGGGGTGTTGGTGGCTCTGCCATACGAGGTGCTGGATCTGCACATGGGTCAGCTGGATCCAGGGCTGGGGAAAGCAGTGCTGGCAGACTGGGGGGCGATGGGAGCGAGTTGTACTCAGTCCATGGTAAAGAAGGTGTGGTTGGTGCTGTTGGAATGGCTGGTGAATATGGGCTGGACTCACGTGCTGGCAAATCTCCATATGGTGAAGCTGGGAAGGGGACTGCCAGTGATTTGAGAGGATCAGAGCACAAAGGTTCATCCCACGACAGAGAATCACTTTCTGGTCAAGGTGATGCTAGGGCTGAGGCCAGGGATTTAGGACAGTCAGGCTCTCCTTATGACAGGGATTCCTCCTTTGGAGGTGCAGAGGGCAAATTCCACGATAAATTGTTCAGTGGGTGGAAGCCAGGTATTTCCAGTCAAAGTTCACAGGGTTCTGATCAGATGTCAGCCCTTCATGGTGGTCCTTCAGTAAGCCAGAGAAAACAGGGACCTGGCCTTGATATTAAAGCAGGTGATTTCTTGAAGAGTACAGAAAGTACAGAAAACAGAAGACGTCATCACCTGGATGATCTGAAAGGTATGTGTTTAATTCTGTGCCACTGATCTTTGCGTTTTGATACAAACAAGAACAAGCTCTGGGTCCTCCATTTCGGGTGGTGCAGCCCTTTATATTTGTAGAGACTGGGAGACATGAGGCTAGAGAACACTCAGGAAAGAAGAATGTTGTGCATGCAGCCATTTGAATGTTAACAGTGGCTGCACTAGCAAGATGACAGCATCAAAACCTGTAAAAATGAGAAAACTGATGTGTATGGTGGAGGGGCTGTACGTGCCCAGTGGAACTGCAAGAAGCACACAAGAAGTATATTGTACATTCAAGGACTGTATTGTATGCAGCCAACTAGAATGTCCTTCAGTGCAGCTGGCCAACATCATCATTAAAAAAAGCCCACCACAACGTGTTATGACTGAGGTAGATGTATTTAAAACAACCAAAACTGTCTTTTCTCCTCACTGCACTCTCTGTCAGTGCAAGACAGACTTAGCATCTTTTCAACATTTTCTTGTCTGAACTTTCAGCTCCACGCTCTCGTGTCAACAAGCAGTTAGCTGATGTCAGAGTCCTGAAAGGGGAACCAACTGAGCTGTCGTGTGCTGTCAATAGACATGACTTAACAGGAACCTGGTTTAAGGATGGGTTAAAGGTAAGTGTCCTCTAGCCTGTTTTCTTCACTTGGTAATGCCCTGCTCTCTGACTTGACTTCTCATTGAGTATCGTGTCAAGATGCCCATCCCTCTGCTCTGAGTATGGTCCTAGAAGGCCTCTGCAGGAGACTGTTTAAATATTCTGGTTAGAAGCTCACCAAGATTTTTTTTTCACCTTCCTGCTTCAAGACATTTCCATCCTTGCCTCCTTAGGAAGCTTTGGATTTTCCTTTGTGTTTTCCATTTGAGGGTTGGAACCAGATGACCTTTATGGTTCCTTCCACCCTAAGCCAGTCTATGATTCTTTTACATAGGTGGCGATGAAATGGGGCTTTTCTTTGTGCTGCAATCCTTTTGCTTTTCTTTGGTGTGTCAGAGAGATACACAAAAAATAAAGTAAAACCTTCAAATCATCTTCAGGCAGGCGTAGCACCAGAGGTACTCATACAGATTAGTGCTTAGAATCAAGTGTAGGCATCATATTCTATATCCCAAAAGAACATTAAGCAACCCAGGTCAGACTGTGGGATCTGTGTGATGCTGTCAGAAGTTCCAAGGTGCCATCCTGGAGCCTGGACCAAAGTTTTAGCATTAAGAATAGAAAAAGAGGCTTTGGTGACAGTAGTATTTTAGGGGCAGAGGAACAATTAACGCTTCTATTTATGGTAATGAACTTTGATTCAAGCCTTTGTGGTGGTGAATTAGTCAGCAGGTACGTAATCCCAGGATAATATTGTAATGAAACATGTATGGCATTCATAAATGTTTCCTTTTTATTTTAATTTGAGCACTTGGGCTTTATCTTGTAGTTAACAAGCATGGAAGGAGTCACTTTGGAGAAGGAAGGCCTAGTTCACAAACTCATTATTAGCAAGGTAGAAGACATTCATGCTGGGAAGTACAGGTTTGAAGCTGGAGATATAAAAACTGAAGCTTCAATTTTTGTTGAAGGTGAGTCTGTTCAAACAACCCATGCTTTCAATGCAGAATGCTGGTCTTGCAGTGCTTGAAATGGGGCAGGTTCACTCAGGACCCATTGTTGGCTATTGGGATTTAATTGTAATTAGTATCTGGGAGGTGTAACAAGCTGGTACATAAAAATATAACTGTGGAGCCTTCGTGCAAAGCTTCTCACTACTGATTTAAAGACTTGGTGGGTGCACATATTGCTTTACTAAACCAGGCTCTTCATTCTTGTGCTGCTGATGAAAATTTGCTCCAGTGCGAAGGAGCAAATTGATGCCATAAATGCTATTAGAAAATTGTCCTGTAGCAAAGTGCACAGTGTGAAGCACGGAGTGTACAAATGAAGGTGAAGGTGCATGCTTTTGCAGTGTCATGGACTGATTTGGATAAGCCCCCAGAGAACCAAATTAAACTATTTGGAATATATTTTGGAATGTATGTTTGGAATATAGAGCAGCAATGAAGGGGGGAAAGTCCTTCCCTCCAAGGTTAGCCTTATCCTCTTTGATCTGCAGTTTTTAATGACCTTGCACTGTTGTTTTAGATCCTCCACAGGTGAACGAAATTCTCCTAAAAAACTTAATGAGTGTTCCTACTGTGGCCAAGGCAGGGGAGAAAGTTGTGATCAAGATCCCTTTTGAGGGCCGGCTTCCAGTCAGAGCAATGTGGCTAAAGGACAAAATAGAACTGGGAGATGACTCAAGGATTCGTGTTGATAAAACAGACACCTTCACCATGCTGTCCATCTCCAATGCAGAGAGAAAGGACTGTGGGGATTACAAAGTCAGGCTGAAGAATGACAGTGGAATCCTGGATATTGACCTAAAGGTTGAGGTAATAGGTAAGATCCCCATCACATCTACGATGGCTTCCATCATAAGGCTGAGGGAGCAGAACCAGTACTTCTGGTCACAGCCTTGCTTAAGACTACCAGCTATTCCAGGGTGAACAAGGCTGTGTTTCCAATAGATCAAGATGCAGGCAATGGTTGTTGACGTGCTACTTGCCCTTTAATATGACACGTGTCTGGTTTCATTTTGGACAGCCTCATTAATTGAGTTTTGAACGCTGGGAGACTGTGGAAAGTAGGGCTATACACAGCAGGCAAATCTACAGACATAACATCAAGGTCAAACTCAATCCTGCCATAAATGTCTGTACTCTTAGTGCAATGCTTATGAGAACGGTCAGCCCGTGGAGCAAGGGCCTGGCTTCCTCCCTTGTTTATTAAAATTAGGAGAGACATTTAAAGAGGCAGCTTAAGTGCCTGGATTTCAATCTGCGAGTAGGCATATGTACCATCAGAAACTGAGTCTGTGCTGGTGAGTGAGACTGTCTGCTCCAAGCCTGGGAATGCATCTGGATCTGGAACTAGGCTGCTTGTGTTTGTCTTTCAGACAAGCCACAGCGACCTGCAGGACCCCTGAAAATTGTAGAAAGCTCTGCAAATGATGTCACCATTCAGTGGAATCCCCCGAAAGATGATGGGGGCAAACCAGTACAAAACTATATTATTGAGAAACAGCAGGTGGGCAAGAGCGACTGGGTGACCGTGGGAGAAACCCCCAGGAGCTGCACCACGTTCACTACCAGCAAAGTGGAACAGGACATGAGTTACTACTTCAGAGTGAGAGCTGTGAATGCAGAGGGAAGCAGCGATGCACTGGAATCAGATGAGGTGGTGACAATCAGTAAAGGTGAGGAATAACTTGTTGTGATGGTGTCCCAAAACCCTATGGGAAATTCATTAGCAGAGTTTCACGTCAAGAAAACTGCTTGCGTTTTGGATGTTGCTACATATTTAAACCTGAGTCATGGTTGTGAAGTGTTCACACAAACCTGGGCTTGGCAGTCATAGCCTGGGCTGCATAAAAAAGAGTGTGGTCAGTAGGTCAAGGGCAGCTCTGGGGCTCCCAGTGCTGGAGAGATGTGGACTTCTTCGAGTGGGTCCATAGGAGGGCCATGGAAGTGATCAGAGTGGTCTCAGTCAGATTTTCAAAACACACCCACATAAATGCATTGGAGAAACCTGGAGGAAATGATCCAGCAGGTGTATTTCCATATCTTTCACTAGAAGTATTCTAATAATAAACCATTGATGTCTTTCTTAGCTACACCTGGTGCCCCAGATCCTCCCGAGATCGTCGGTGTCAGCGCAGACACCATCACAATATCCTGGAAGGCACCTCGGAAAACTGGGAGCTCCCGAATTTCGGGGTACATCGTTCAGAAACGCAAGATGGGCAGCATGACCTGGGTGCCAGTCAACAGTGTGCCCATAGCAGGTGGGTGGCTCACTCAAACCCTGGAACGAGTTTGAAAGGCTTGAAAAAAGGCTGAGAGCTCATCTGTGTTGAGATCAGAAGGTAGCATGTGCTGTTATATCCATCAGGTGCAGGCTAAGCTCTTCTCTGATATAGAAGAGTTTAGGATTATCCTATAAGGAAAAGCAATGTTGTCCTGTCTGTAGCTTAATAGCTCTCAAAGAATATTTTCTTTGGAATGGTATACAGTGAACGTGCCTCAGAAGTATGCATGCTCTAGGATAGGAGAAGACAAGGGAACTTGGGACTGCATTTGTACTTTACTCCTGAGGATTCAGTCTACTGTTCTGCATGGATTAAAAGTACAACATTGTCTCACTGTTTTCTGCTTGGGGAACTGCTCACTCAAGCCAACATTCTCATTTTCTGTCTGCAGACAAGAAGCTGAAAGTAACTGATCTCAAGAAGGGTCTGCAATATGAATTTTGTGTGGCAGCTGTCAATGCTTCTGGTATGGGAGATATCAGTGCAGCATCACAAGCTGCCTTTGCTCGGGACTCCACAAGTAAGTGAACTGCCTCCATCCTTCTGTCTTGGGAGTACCTGAATTGAGACTGGGATGTTACTGAGGAGGCAGTGATTTCAGAGCTATGTAGAAGTATGTGAAGATAACAAATGGGCAATGTTCCATGGCTGAGCGTGCGCTGTCTGCACGAGACAGGAATGGAAGGATTTCCTGTGTGATGTTTAAGTCAGGATATGGTGGATGCCCTGTGCAGAGTGGAGATCCAATGCACTGCAAGAACGTTGGGGATCTCAGGAAGTGACTGAAAAGAGGGTACACGTATACCAGAAAAACAGATTAAATGAAATTTCCCTTTCAGAACCTCCAGGTAAAGTGAGGGACCTTAAGATGACCATCAGTGACAGCAGCAGTGTCACCTTGACCTGGAACGTACCTGAAGCAGAAGAGGGAAGTGGTGCGAAAGGCTACAACGTGGAGATGCGATCTGCCAACAGCCTCAGCTGGACCAAATGCAACATTTTTCCTATAGAAACGACCACTTACAAAATTAAAGGCCTGCAAGCCAAGGAGTCGTACTTCCTACGTGTGAGAGCCATCAATGACTGTGGCCCAGGAGAAGCCACAGAGCTTGAAGCTTTCACTGAAGTTGTTCGTCCCGTTGGTAAGTCTCCACATCAGCTTTTATTCCTCTTCAAGATCCCTCAAAGCACAAAGAATTTTTGAGAGCATCAAGAAGTGCTCTTAGTCCAGCTCCCCATCAGTGTCCATTGCAGTTTCTTTTTGCATTCGTGTCATTTTACACAGAGGATCATCCGTGTGAGGGGGTGAAGCATGCCATAGTTTTTTCCATGGCTGAGACATCAGATGTATGCAAACACTGTAGTGAACGTAGCTGAACATCCTTTCCTCTCATTTAATTAGAGTGCTAGGTAAAAAACAATAAAACATGAAAGGTGCAGTGATTAGCAAAGAACTCTGCTAGTGAATCGAGGAACTTTTTTTCTACTGTACTGCTGTCTTTATCAACAGCCTGCAGACAAGCTGTTGGAAAGGCTAGCACATGCACCTGAGTTGTCAGCTGATGATTTTGTCATAACATAAAACTGTTTACAGTAATCACTGTCTTTTCCAGTTTTTCCCAGGTTCATAATAGACAAAACAGTGAAAAATTTCCTGCTTATAAAAGCAGGAAACGCCATTCGAGTGAATATTCCTTTTGAGGTAAGCTTTCAGATTGAAATCCTTTTTTTTTTTTTTCCACGTGTACAAGACACTGGGCAAATCCTTTAATCTGCCTGTGCTGCGTATGCTTTCTGCATGAGGAAAACAGGAAAAAAGAATTCAGCTGTCACTCTTGACATTGGTGGTTTATGAGATTTATAGTCATTCAGTAACCCCAGCAAATAAAGTGCTTGGAATGCTCTCCATCCAACCATCTCAGAGTTACCACCATCTGGAACTGATCTCCAGCTCCCTCAGAAAGCCTTTGGGGGTAGCACTTCTAGCAACATTCTCTTGACTGCGTTTGTCTTCCTGCACAGCAGGGCATAAGTTGTCACTTACAGAAATCCAGTGTGCTGTGACATAAGGTTGGAACAAAACAGGTGAAGTCTGGGATATCAGGAGGAGTGTGGAAGGTAAAGTGTGCGTACTGCTGACCCTGCTCCAACTCAGCTGCTCTTTTGGAATGTAGAGCCCAAAGATGGAGAAATAGAAATAAGCACTTCAAGGACGTTTTTCTTTCTTTCAGAAACAAGCAAATGTTTTTTTAAAGTAGAAAACATTAACTGCTGATGTCTGTTGTTTGTGATCTAGCAAACCTTGTTTGACAGCTGTACCTGTACTGAGAAACTCTTGAGCAGCTCTGTATCCAGGGCTCTTAGAGCCAATCTCTGATATTCCAATGCAACCCTTAGCTGTGTCATGTAGGTGTGCATTTTAATGAGGTAACAGAACTGTCATTTGGAGGCGAAGCACCTGTGCTGTAACCAGAGTTATTCTTCACAGGCACCTCCAGATTCTGTGTTGACCTGGTTAAAGGATGGAGCTTCTCTTCCAAGCCGTGCTAAAATAAGCACCCAGGATGGTTCCTCCCAGCTGCTGATTAAAGCAGCTGAGTTCACTGACAGTGGCATCTATACTGTTGAGCTCACGAGTGGGACAGGGAAGAGAGAAACATTCAGCTTCCAAGTTCAAGTTACGGGTAACTATCACCTGCATTTCTGTGTTTGTGTGCATAACAGACTTACAGGTGAATACGTGGTAGGCAGTGGACTGAGTTCAGCTCTCTTACCTTTATCCACAAGAAGGGAAGGAGTCCCAGCAGTTTGGTCTAATGCAGCAGAAGCTCAGTTAGTAACAAACAAGCTTGTGCATCTGGAGAAGGAACCGAATTTTGTCCCATCTGATGACCAGGGTGTCTCCCAAAAGCTCAATCATGAAATACGTGATGGACTTGAAGCTTTTAGGGTGCTGTGCTGCTTTCCCTGCATCTCCTGTATTGCTTATTTTCATCTGACAGATATCCCACAACCACCTGGACCTATTGAACTGAGAGAGAATGTGCCAAATATAGTGACAGTAACCTGGGAGCCGTCGACATCTGAGAAATGGGAAAGCAATCTCTACTACACAGTCATGAAACGCGAATCACAGAAGGGCGTGTGGCACGTGGTGGGTGACCTGATCTACACCAACAAGTTCACGTACACCAGTGTGATCCCAGGCAGGGATTACTACTTCAGGGTGGTGGCAAAAAATTACTTGGGATCCAGTCGTCCATCCGACACTGCGCAGCCTTGGAGAATTCGAAAACAGAAGGGTAAAATGCTTTTACAGATAAGCCATCTGTGTGATGTTGTTGTTGTGCTGTGTTCCTTGTTTCTACCACAGTGGAATAGGTCCCTCCTCCTGTAAGCATTTAGTTGCCCAAAATGAGAGTGCGTAGAGAACACCCTAAGAAATTCCATTTTGGTAGGGAAGGATTATCATTTCTCCATGGTTGTTGTTGCAGGCCTTTGTTTCCTCCCATGTCAGGTAATTTGTGATACTAATTCCCAGCAACATCTAGGGCTTGAATTTTGCAGAAACTAATGTTTGTGGCTGCAAGTTACACTCTGGCCTGTTTGAGAAGGAACAGCAATTACAATCCACAGGTGTGCTGCATCTCAGACGAGGAGGTGCAGGATGCCAGACGTTAATTGCCGTGCTTTTGAGCCATCCTTTGCTCTGACTTCCATCCCCATGAAGCAGCGCCTGAGCGATTGTGTGCAGTGTTGTACGAGGCTTTTTTCCTTCTTCCACCAGCTGACGTTCAACTCAGACCACAGAGGTACAAGGGAGTAAATCAGAACCAGCCGCCAAGGTTCCTCGTCCCCCTGAAGCCTCACGTGGTGATCCCTGGCACCGAGTGCCGCATGAGCTGTGCGGTTGGAGGCCACCCACCCCCCAAAATCACGTGGTACAAAGATGGCAGAGACCTCTCCAACAATCCCTCCTACTTCGGCACAAACAACTTTGGTGTCTGCTCCCTGGTGATCTTCGGTGCTTCCAAGGCTGATGAAGGTGACTACATGGTTGAAGCCACCAATGATTTGGGCCGTGCTTTCAGCAAAGCCTCCCTCATTGTTAAAGGTAACAGTCTTTAAGCATCCCTTTCTTTCATCGTGTGGTGTCAAGGTAAACATTATTGTGTCAGGACGCCTTAAGAATAGTAGCCATACAGGTGTATGTATTGATAGGAGCAGTATCCTGAGATGCAGAATGTGTCTGGACTGCTTTATGGAACTTTTAATTAACCTACAGAGTGGTCAAAGTGAAACAGAAATGGAAAGGCAAATGTGGAGAAAGAAAAATACTTGATTTCCTCATGAGTGCAGCAGTTTGGATTGACATTGACCAAATCTTTTAGGAATAAATATCCAGTCTTCATTTAATAAGGTAGAATCTATGTTAGATTTCTCTATAGTGAAGGAGATGCGGGACAGAAGACTTGGGTGGTAGGAAGGTGAAACAGAGAGAGAGAAGCTGGGGTTGGTTGACCAAAGGCAATGAGAAGAGAAGAGTGATTCTAAGTTGGCCAGAGTCAACGAGGGTCCTGATGTGGGTGCAGAATGAGCGTCGTTGGCCGAGGGACGCGTGGGGAATGGACTTATGGACACATTTCATGGGCAGTTCACTCAGTTCATCATGAAATATCCTTCAGTTTGAGATATGTTTCTGTATGTAGGTCAGGATGCTTTGGTGAGATTGTATGAATGGAGAAATGGGTCAAATAAATCCTTTCTCAGATGCTGGTCCTTTTGACCATCCAACATTTGAGGATTATGCCTGTCAGCCCGTTCCCCTGCTGAGTTACTTCTCTTCCTCTTACTTTCAGACTCCTGCCTGTGACAGGACCTTCCTGAAACCTCCTCTGCACTCCAGTGTGAACAAGGTTTTCTCTGAGCACTGGCCCTGCACAAAGGCTACGTATCTGTTTTCAGATGTGCAATATAGTCTGAGTGCTTTTTCAGATCCGGTAGTTGCATTTTGAACAGGATGCTGCATCGTAGTCAAAACGGTGGGGAAAAGCTTTGGGAATTGTGTGATCCTGATTTTCTTCTACGACCTTTAAAATACAAATGAGAAGCTTCCGAAACTCAGAAGATGAGAGGGAAAAACAATTGGCCAGAATGAGACTTTGCGTGGAGAAGACAGGTGTGAGACCGTTCTGCCTCTCCTCTCACTGCTTGGGCTGCTGGCTTTATCTGTGTAAGAGCAATTCTCAGACAGGGCAACATGAACCTGTGCTACTGGCAGTGAAAGTGGGTGGACAAGAATGAATGGAAATCTACACCCAGTTGTATCTGCGTGAGCAGATCAGCTACAAAAAAGGATGTAGCAGTGCTGAGCTGCCACATTCACGTCACCTTTGAAACGTAGCTGTCCCTGCCCCGTGGCATCCCTAGAGTATTATTGCTTAATGCTAAAAGAGGTTAAAAATCTTTCATGTTTGACCAGAAGTACGAAGTACAACCAAAGGTCCTCTGCTATGGCTGGAGGATTCCATCACTGAATGGAGAATGAGACTGGAAAGCCAAAACGTGCTGGTGACCACACAGTGCCTTGGAGCTTTGGCACCACAACAGTTTCCGTGACAGCATCTCAGAGAGTCTTAAAGCCACTGGGTCCTCAGACAGCCAGTCCAACATTTATATGGGGCTGAAATGTTTTTTGGTTATATTTTGTACAATGTTGTACAGATGTAGGAACAGCAGATCGTTACATTAAACAGTTGTTCAGTAAAATTACAGTGTTTCAGTGTAAAATGTGTTTGTTTTTTGGGAAAGAGGCCCAGCCGCTTCTGAATGCTAATCCAGCTCCATTAGAGCAGCATTTTCACGTTCAATGCCTGTATATTTCTTGCAAAGCTGAGTGATAAACACCAGCGAGGTCTCACTAGCTTTGGATTTACTGGTGCTGACTGCTGCAGGACTGAGCAGTGAATGTGTGGCATTACATTTGCTATTCTTGGCTGGCACCTGCAGCAGTCACGCAGTTGCTGGCATAGCAGAGAGGAATCGTGTTGCTCAGGCAGCGCTGCTAAAACCCTCCTGCATTCCTTGTGCTGCTCATTCGCTGTTGGCTTCACACGAGGATCTCATGCTGTGGTCCCTGTGGGCTGGCAAACCACTCCTGGCACCTTGATGGGGCTGAACACGTGCTGCTGTTTGGTGACATCTAGAGAAATCACTACAACCCGTTCTGCAGCCCTTCTGCTATTGCTCTTTGCAGCAGGGCTGTGACTTTGGGAGATGGTAGCTGCGGAGCTGAGCAAAATCTGGCCACTCCTCGTGCTGGGAAAAGCTTGTTACAATCTGTGGTTCAGGGCTTCGTGTTGCCTGGGGCAGAGTGGGGCTGCTGGGGTGGCACTGCTTTATGTGACAGAAGATCCTGTTAGGGCAGAAAGCAAGTCCTGGGGTAGGACTGGAGCCACAGCTGCCATCTTCTGTACCTCGTGCCCTGGGGTGGTAGGGAGCAGCAGCTGTTGGAGTGGCCTCTGTGCTCCTCTGCACAGCTGGTCCCATCCCTCCATCTCCAGGGAGAGGAGCTGTAGGACTGCAGAGCCCTCCAGGGCTGCTGTGCAGAGAGGGATTTCCAACCCTGAGGGTGTTTGCAATTCCATCTCCAGAAGCGCAGGACGCTTCAAGCCCTGCTACCCACCATAAGGATAAGAGCTGCCACTGGCACGTCTTAGCAGTTGTTGAAAGACTGAACACCTCCTTCCTGGATGATGAAGACGGCACCAAGTTGGAACTTACCTGCCTGAGGGTAGGAGGGTCCTACAGGGGCATCTGGATGTGCTGAGGCCAGTGGGATGAACTCCAGCAAAACCCAGCGCTGGGTCCTGTGCTTTGGTGACAGCGACCCCATGCATTGCTGTGGGCTGGCAGCCCAAGGGGTCACAGTTAGCAGAGCCAAAAGGCCAGCACTGAAATGGAAGAACCAAAGTGACCAGAAGGTCAGCAGCCTGCTATGGCTGACACCTGCCTTCCCTGAGCCTCACTGGTGCTGCTGGCTCCTCCTCACCCTCAGCAGGCACAGCCTTCTCCAGCAGGTGCACATTTACATGACAGACCCAGAGGCACTGACCTGGGAAGTTCTGTTACCCTGCGACTGACATTTCCTCCTATTTGCTTGCTCCCATGCAAGCAAAGCTGCTTTGCAGCCCAAACCTCAGGTCTGAGCGATGCCAGCCCCTCCAGGTGCCCCACATGGTGGTTTCAGGAGCTGCTGGCTTGTGCAGATCTTCCTTTTCAGTGCTGGCAGCTTGGCACTTCTCCCCACCTTGTCTGTGCCTGCAGTCCCTTGGTGAGGACAGGCATTGCCCACTGCTTTTCTCTGCCCACTGCTGCTTTTCTCAGCCGTTCACAACCCTGCAAGAACAAAAACAAAACAGCATTCCCTGCTCTCTTTCCTCTCATCTTCCAAATCTCTGGCAGCAGCAGCCAGCAGGGCCCTCCATCCCTGATACAGGCCAGCAGTGGGCTGTGCTTGTTCTGCTTCCTCGGGCTGCTGCCTGCCATGCTGTGCCTGCAGCCAGTCCTCAGCCCTGCTGTGGCACATCCTGGCCTCTTTCTCTCCCATTGCATGGTGAGCAGATGAAAGCCAAGCGGGAAGCATAATTTATAGGTAGCTTGAAACTGAGTTTTGGCAGGGCAAAACATGCCAAAAGATGAAGCAATTCCTCTGGAGCCACGCTCATACTGGTTATCAAATGATGCTTGAAAGGCTCAGTAATGCAAGAGGAGAATCGAGTTGCTCAATTCCAGCAGAGGATAAACTCTATGACGGACACGTGTTTGGGAGCAGGAGCTGATAGCTTGCTTTTGAAAACTCGTCTGGCAAGGCAAATCACAGCTTAATGTCTGGGTCCCGAGGTTGGCGGAGCTGCAGAGCACCTGTGCACACGCACATGCCTCGGCAGGGCTGCTCCACCTCCTCCCGCCCTGCTGGGAGGCTGCCCTCGCCGCCTTCAAGACAACCAAACACGAGCAAGCTTTGCACCGGTGACCCCGAGATCCCGTGGGCTGCCTGCAGCTGCTGCGGCATCCTCAAGGCTGCGCAGTCCGTGGGTGTGCAGCATGGACCGGCAGCCTGCTTTGCTTCTTCTGTGCTGGTGTTGGACTGCGGGTGCCTGGAGCATCCCTGCCTGCTCTCCTTTTGGCCATGAAGCGCCGCAGTCCTGGCTCTGTGCTGCCGCAGGGCTGCAGGGCAGCAGAGGAGCTCAGACAGCGAGCTTCAGCTGCCTGCAGGGGGAAACTGCAGGCATCCAGTAGAGCTGTCCAGAAAAACTGCATTAAAGCCCATTAAGGTTCTGATTTTGTTTCATTTTATCCTGACTGACATCAGAGGTTACAAATTCTTCAGGGCTGCTGCTAGTTAATAACACCTGGAACATCCTTTCTGCTTTTCTACATCAAACATTTGTATAAAACATCAGACTGTTTTTGTTACAAGAGGAAGATGAGGCACTTTGATCTACAGAGGGAAGGTAAGGGGTTTTGGTTTTTTTCCAGCCATTCCTAAGCAGCAGAGCAGTCCTTAATGATTTAATTTTAATAAAATTAGCTGTGTATTTCAACCTCAGCAGTTACCGGGTCTTTAAAGAAAAGAGAAACTGCTTTTTGGTGTTACAGAAGTGGTGAACCCAGCTTGCAGCCTTGGCATGCTCACACTGCAGATCTCCGTCCTTCAGTTTTGCAGGAAGGGTGAAGAAATGTTATAAAGCCCAGCAGCAGCCACATCCAGCTGCCATCCTGCCTGTTCTCCAGATGATGTGGCTGATTTTGTAGCTAAAGCCACCATGTGTGGCAGCTTGGCTGCACAGTGTTCATCTCAGGCCATTCTATGCCTCCATGACTTCTCCAAGGCCCTCTCACTTCCATGGGTAAGAACAAGTGACGCTGTACAGAAGCTGAAGCAGAAGCAGCTCTGACTGAAAAAGCCTTTATGATGAGAAAGGTGCAGCCCTGGGATCACAGCATCCCCATCCTCCAAGGGATCCAAACCTCCGCTGGGCACGGGCTGGAGCGGCCTGGCTGCCATTGGGGTGAGCCCTGCTTTGAACACAGGGATGGACCAGGACCCTCAGAAGTCCCTTCCAACCTAAAACCTTCCATGATTTTCCCCCCTGGACAGCAGGGACACACACAGCCGCGAGGCAGCTCAGCACATCCAACCAAGCCTTGACAAAGGAGGTTGCCCTGGGCAGTGACGTACAGGTTTGGGCAACACAGGAGATGGATGGAGCAGTCACAAAGCCCACAGCTTTCTCCACACCTATTGTGCAGGGATGCTCCTGCACAGGCATCTTGGTTCACTGTCACAGGGAGGAGTCGTGCTGTGCCGCGCTCCAGGGCTGTGGGTGCCACGTATCACAGAATATCACATCTCCCACCTCCTCCTCCCATCTTTTGTACTGATACCCACGAGCTGCCCGCATGCCCAGCTGCACACTGCCTTCAAAAATCTGCTGTCCCTGTTTAGTCTGCAAGGGGACGTGGAAATACCTGCCCAAAGCTCAGCTCACTGAGGGCTCTTCATGGAAAGCAGACGCAGTGAAGTGTGACATGTGGATCAGCCTCAAGTCTTGTCTCAAGATGGGCTCCCTTCTGATCAGTAGCACTGTAGGTTCACTATTAAGAAAAGCAGTCTCTTTAAATAATAATGTGAGCAGCACAACTCACACAGATCTTCTGCTTGCTGCTCGTTCACAGCAGTTTTTATTTAACGGGTTTCAGGATTGATTTAGACACGGGGTTGAGCTTCTGGGATCATCCACCTCATCCTTCAGGGTCATTGCCGCGCAGATCCCATCCCATGGATGTCAATAACATCCCGTAGTGTCTGAGCTCTCTCCACATCCCTTCTCCACGCCGTGTCCCCGTGCCCCAGCCCACCATCAGTGCCCTCTGTGCCACAGACACGTGGCCACGCACAACCCCTGGGCAGTGCTCACCGCCCTCCTCCGCTCCCCGTCGCACCCCGGTCCACCCCCCACTTCAAAGAGCTGGGTGACGCTGGGACCTGTTGCTAAATCATTACATAAGCTGTCCTGCCAGGTTTCCTCCCCCACCAGAAACGCAAAGGATTTCACAACCGCGTGGAATCGAGCGCATCCTCGCGCCATCGACGCGCACGCTTCCCTGCCTAAATTTGGCCCTGTCATCTCTGTTCCTTCCCTGGTGGGAACAAACTCTCCCTTCCCTGCAGCATTGCTGAGCTGGGGCAGCTCGCTGTGAGCGCGGGGAGCTGAGGAGGAGTGCGGGGATCTGCCTGGGTTGAGATGGCTGTCGGCCTCCCTGCCAGGCTCTCCAGCTGCAGAGGCACTCCCAGCTGTTGGCTGCACTGCATTTCTGGGGCTGAGCACCTCGCCTGTGAAGAAAGGCTGAAGGAGTCGGGCTTGTTCAGCCTGGAGAAGGGAAACCTCTGGGGAGACCTCACTGCAGCTTTGCAGGACCTGAAGGGAGCTTATAAACAGGGGCAGAGCGACGGTCTGATAGTGGTAGGAAATGGGGAGATGGTTTTAAACTGAAAGAGGGCAGATTTAGATTTGATGCGGGAAGGAAATTCTTTGTGGCACAAGCTTCCAAGAAAAGCTGTGGGTGCCAGGCTGTGCAGAGCCCTGGGCAGTCCAAGCTGGTGGGGGCATGGAGCTCATGGCAGGGATTGGCATGAGGGACTTTAAGGTTCCTTCCAACCCAACCATTCGATGCTTCCACAAATTCTGGCAGTGTCACCTCCAGAC